GAACAGTATGCAGTACATGTAGTACTTATACTATAATCAACAGCAGCTGAACAGTATGCAGTACATGTAGTACTTATACTATAATCAACAGCAGCTGAACAGTATGCAGTACATGTAGTACTTATACTATAATCAACAGCAGCTGAACAGTATGCAGTACATATAGTACTTATACTATAATCAACAGCAGCTGAACAGTATGCAGTACATGTAGTACTTATACTATAATCAACAGCAGCTGAACAGTATGCAGTACATGTAGTACTTATACTATAATCAACAGCAGCTGAACAGTATGCAGTACATATAGTACTTATACTATAATCAACAGCAGCTGAACATTATGCAGTACATATAGTACTTATACTATAATCAACAGCAGCTGAACAGTATGCAGTACATATAGTACTTATACTATAATCAACAGCAGCTGAACAGTATGCAGTACATATAGTACTTATACTATAATCAACAGCAGCTGAACAGTATACAGTACATATAGTACTTATACTATAATCAACAGCAGCTGAACAGTATGCAGTACATATAGTACTTATACTATAATCAACAGCAGCTGAACAGTATACAGTACATATAGTACTTATACTATAATCAACAGCAGCTGAACATTATGCAGTACATATAGTAGTACTTTATAGTTCATTGCACATATATCTTGTAGAAACATGTTTGCACACTTTATTATATTTGTGTAATAAATTATCATATTATATGTGACCGGTTAAATGTCTCCATTGTGAGTCTATATTTTCTTATCTTTGCCTTTAGATTTACAATTAACTCAAATCAGTCTTCAAGTCTCCAAGTCTCTGCATTACTGTTGTTTTGAAATATAAATATTATCAACACTGCATATTCTAATAGACTGAAATCTGCACACAGTAAACAACATGGATCTGTAAAAAACATGGATCTATAAAAAACATGGATCTATAAAAAACATGGATCTATAAAAGGTAAAATCCCACATGTTGCACGTCATCAGGGCAGAAGGCTACAGGTGGCAGTGAGCACAGGGACTCTGCAGTGAACACAGGGACTCTGCAGTGAACACAGGGACTCTGCAGTGAGCACAGGGACTCTGCAGTGAACACAGGGACTCTGCAGTGAACACAGGGACTCTGCAGTGAACACAGGGACTAGGTCACAGTGGGGGCTAAAACTAAGGCTATTTTTGGACTAGGATGTTAAATAAATGCAATAACCTCCAGTCGTTTGAACAGAGACTTGTGGAGGTCACAGTCTTTGGCACCGGGAGATCTGTCCAGGTCCGAGAGGGAGTTGCGTCGGGACATCCTGACCCGGGCTGAGGCTCCGCGGCTCTGCGTGAACACAGGGACTCTGCGTGAACACAGGGACTCTGCGTGAACACAGGGACTCTGCGTGAACACACAGCTGATCTCAGGTTTAACTCCCGGACTCTCTGACGCCCTCTGCTGGCCACAGAGAGGTACGTGTCCAAAGAGAGAGAGTGGGACAAGATGCTGGAGTGCGTGGTAGTGTTTGAAACTGATTGACTGAGTGATGTAGATTAAATAGTTTTTGCCCTTAATCCCCTTGATTAAGAGATATTTCATTCGTCACACAGTGGGGAAATTTCAGTGTTGCATCGCCAGTTACAGACAGTAGGAAGGAGGAGCACACAGCACAAGATGAATTTCTAATAGCTCTATACATAAAATACATACAAAGTCTCTAACTTTAGCATAAAAAGAAGCAGTACAAACACGATTTTTAACATAATAAGGAAATGGGTTTGAAATCTCAAACTTTAGCATGATTAAGAAGTAGTACAAAATCCTGATTTTAGCAGAATCTACTACCCCATTCCAACAAGTATTGATTGTTGGAATGTTTCAGATTTACAGAAATTGAGAAAAAAATCTTACTATTGAAATAATATTTACCTTGAACATAAAGCAATCATAGACCTGACCAGAAACGACACAAATGTGATTTGTTTACATTCATTTGTTGCTTTTGTATCTTTGACGCGTTCAGCCAATCAGAGAGAGCTGTCGTGTCCAAGTCCCCTACGGAAGCCCCCGAGCTCCAAACCCCAGAGCACCGTCACTTCTGCTCTAACAACATAACAGTCTCTAAATGAGGTAAGAAAACCACACACACTGCGTTTATCACCGGGTTTTTGAACAGATACTCTCAAAGACTCTACACACAGTAAACTGACGCCGCTCAGACTGATTTAAACAAACACAGATGTGACGTTCAGTCTAATATTTACATTTAAACTTTTATACAGAGACTAATGTTAGTGTCACGTGTCCTCAGTATTTCTATGTGTCTTATTTGTACGACTGTGAGGATTTTTGCTCAAGTAACATATGACTTAGCATTTACTTTAAGGAGAGAACATCACATTTTGTCATTCTTTTGAGCCCACATGTTGATAACGAGTTCATAAAAACCATATAGTTTTACAGTTTGAGCTGTGCATTAATAAGTTAAAGCTGAAGTACTGTTAATCCAGATGATGTATATACTGATATGTATGTATCAGTGTCTGAAATGGAGCAGTATTATTATTATTAAGTTCATCATGTTTTTCTTGTCTTGAGCTGTTTGAGACTTTGTTTATTAAAAAGTAGCAAACGTCCAAATGATAATCAAACAATAAAATATTTAAAACAATGATTGAACAAAAGAACAGACAAGACGAGACGATTTGACCAAATAAATTAACACTAAACTCCCAGAGCAGTCAATTTGACGGCTGTTCTATTTGGAAGTTGTTGCCGTGGTAATGCTGGGTGTGTTGTTGCCGTAGGGACGCTGTGATCCATGTGTTGTTGCCGGGGTTACACTGTGACCCTTGTGTTGTTGCCGTAGTGACGCTGTGACCCGTGTGTTGTTGCCGTGGTAACACTGTTACCCTTGTGTTGTTGCCGTGGTGACGCTGTGACCCATGTGTTGTTGCCGTGGTGACGCTGTGACCCTTGTGTTGTTGCCGTGGTGACGCTGTGACCCATGTGTTGTTGCCGTGGTAACACTATGACCCTTGTGTTGTTGCCGTGGTAATGCTGTGACCCTTGTGTTGTTGCCTTGGTAACGCTGTGACCCTTGTGTTGTTGCAGTGGTAACGCTGTGACCCTTGTGTTGTTGCCGTCGTGACGCTGTGACCCGTGTGTTGTTGCCGTGGTAACACTGTTACCCTTGTGTTGTTGCCGTAGTGACGCTGTGACCCATGTGTTGTTGCCGTGGTGACGCTGTGACCCATGTGTTGTTGCCGTGGTAACACTGTGACCCTTGTCTTGTTGCCTTGGTAACGCTGTGACCCTTGTGTTGTTGCAGTGGTAACGGTGTGATCCTTGTCTTGTTGCCTTGGTAACGCTGTGACCCTTGTGTTGTTGCAGTGGTAACGGTGTGATCCTTGTGTTGTTGCCTTGGTAACGCTGTGACCCTTGTGTTGTTGCCGTGGTGATGCTGTGACCCTTGTTGTTGCCATGGTGACGCTGTGACCCTTGTGTTCGCAGGATGCCTGGGTGTCTTCCGCTCCTCAGGGGGCTCTGCTTGGCGCTCTGCCTGCTGACGGCTCACTCTCATGGGGGAGAGCAGGAGCAGCCGCAGGGGGAGGTGGCTGGGGAGGGGGAGGTCCACGCCAACGTTCACGGTCGCTTTGACAAAAACATGATTCAGGACCAAGAGTGAGTGACCGACTCTGACAAACTCCGGCTTATCCAAACATGAACTCCACAACCACAGAGAGGCTGCTTCAACCTTTCACCTTTTTAGACAAAATGCTGTCTTTTTACTTCCTATAAGTATAAATACTTGGGTTTTAGCTTGATGGATTTCATTCATATATTTTTTTATTGCTCTAAATCACAACAGAGGAGGACTGTTGTGATTTAGAGTTGTCGATTTGCCAAAAACAGCTCAGAGAATCAAACAGTTTGGAAGTATGCAGGACAAACACACCATTGGCCCATAGGAACCATCGGCCCATAGCAACCATTGGTCCATAGCAACCATTGGTCCATAGCAACCATTGGCCCATAGGAACCATTGGCCCATAGGAACCATCCATAGGAACCATTGGCCCATAGGAACCATTCGCCCATAGCAACCCTCGGCCCATAGCAACCATTGGCCCATAGCAACCATTGGTCCATAGCAACCATTGGCCCATAGCAACCATTGGCCCATAGGAACCATTGACCCATAGGAACCATTGGCCCATAGGAACCATTGGCCCATAGGGACCATTGGCCCATAGGAACCATTGGCCCATAGGAACCATTGCCCCATAGCAACCATTGGCCCATAGGAACCATCCATAGGAACCATTGGCCCATAGGAACCATTCGCCCATAGCAACCCTCGGCCCATAGCAACCATTGGCCCATAGCAACCATTGGTCCATAGCAACCATTGGCCCATAGGAACCATTGGCCCATAGGAACCATTGGCCCATAGGAACCATTGGCCCATAGGAACCATTGGCCCATAGGGACCATTGGCCCATAGGAACCATTGGCCCATAGGAACCATTGGCCCATAGGAACCATTGGCCCATAGGAACCATTGGCCCATAGGAAGAGGATTGACTAATGTCCTCCTGTATGTTTAAAAACATATTTTAGATTTGTGTAAATCCAAGTTTTAGTAAAAGTACGTATTTTACTAGTGTTTCTTTACCTTTTCCTTCAGTCACCTTAAATAAGAGCTGAGACTGTTTAGTATAACTTGGGATACAAAAACCAACTGCTGCAAGGAAACAGGAAACACAACATTTAAACTGTTTTTTTTTATTTAGCAACATATTTGTCTTTTCAATGTGACGTCTGGTGCTTTATTTTATTGCTAACTCTTGATGTTGTTGCAGACACATTATGGAGCACCTGGAGGGAATCATCGATAAACCAGAGAAGGACATGACGCCGCAGGAGCTGCAGCTGCACTACTTCAAAATGCACGACTACGACGGAAACAACCTCCTGGACGGACTGGAGCTGGCTACGGCCATCACACACGTGCACAAAGAGGTACACACACACACACACACACAAAACACACACACACAACCTCCTGGACGGACTGGAGCTGGCTACGGCCATCACACATGTGCACAAAGAGGTACACACACACACACACACACACACAACCTCCTGGACGGACTGGAGCTGGCTACGGCCATCACACACGTGCACAAAGAGGTACACACACACACACACACACAAAACACACACACACAACCTCCTGGACGGACTGGAGCTGGCTACGGCCATCACACATGTGCACAAAGAGGTACACACACACACACACACACACACACAACCTCCTGGACGGACTGGAGCTGGCTACGGCCATCACACACGTGCACAAAGAGGTACACACACACACACACACACACAAAACACACACACACAACCTCCTGGACGGACTGGAGCTGGCTACGGCCATCACACATGTGCACAAAGAGGTACACACACACACACACACACACACAACCTCCTGGACGGACTGGAGCTGGCTACGGCCATCACACATGTGCACAAAGAGGTACACACACACACAGAGGTACACACACTCAGAGGTACACACACTCAGAGGTACACACACAGACACACACACTCAGAGGTACACACACACACACTCAGAGGTACACACACACACTCAGAGTTACACACACACTCAGAGGTACACACACAGACACACACACTCAGAGGTACACACACAGACACACACACTCAGAGGTACACACACAGACACACACACTCAGAGGTACACACACAGACACACACACTCAGAGGTACACACACAGACACACACACTCAGAGGTACACACACAGACACACACACTCAGAGGTACACACACACACACACACACACTCAGAGGTACACACACAGACACACACACTCAGAGGTACACACACACACACACACTCAGAGGTACACACACAGACACACACACTCAGAGGTACACACACAGACACACACACTCAGAGGTACACACAAAGACACACACACTCAGAGGTACACACACACACACACACTCAGAGGTACACACACAGACACACACACTCAGAGGTACACACACACACACACACTCAGAGGTACACACACAGACACACACACTCAGAGGTACACACACAGACACACACACTCAGAGGTACACACACAGACACACACACTCAGAGGTACACACACACACACACACTGCCGTCACACTCAGTTTCTTCTTAAATGTAAATCTTTATAAACGGCTTAATTTGAATGAAAATAGTGAAATAACTGTTTTTTGAGAACTGCATTGATTCGAAGAGGACCCGTCAAAATGAGTGCTCTTCTCGTAGTTTCAGAGTCCTAGTGTTAAGTTAAGATCGCTGCAGAAAACAATAAAACACACAAAACAGTTACTTTAGTCCAATCAAACCGGAGAAAAGTAATAAAACATGAAAGTAATGAGTAAAAACATAAAAACCACAGACTGTAAATAATAACGGACAGAGTCAGACTAATGGGCCAAAGATAGTACTTTACTGGAGCTATCCAAAATGACGGAGAGGTAAGAAGATGCTACATGTTAGCATTGGCTAATTCTCCTTCCGGGTCCACCCCCACAGGCCTGGGGTGGTATTGCAGCATGTCAGCCCCCACTGATAAAAACATAAAAACACAGAAGATGTTTTGTTGCAGGAGCGAGGGGAGGACAGCGCCCCCATGAGGGAGCAGGACCTCATGAGCCTCATCGACGACGTTCTCAAAGACGACGACAAAAACAACGACGGCTTCATCGACTACGCCGAGTTTGCCAAGTCTCTGGAGTAAAGGCACCAGCAGGGGGCGCTGCAGGGGGCGCTGCAGGGGGCGCTGCAGGGGGCGCTGCAGGGGGCTCTGCAGGGGGCGCTGCAGGGGGCGCTGCAGGGGGCTCTGCAGGGGGCTCTGCAGGGGGCTCTGCAGGGGGCACCAGCAGGGGGCGCTGCAGGGGGCTCTGCAGGGGGCACCAGCAGGGGGCACCAGCAGGGGGCGCTGCAGGGGGCGCTGCAGGGGGCTCTGCAGGGGGCACCAGCAGGGGGCGCTGCAGGGGGCTCTGCAGGGGGCACCAGCAGGGGGCACCAGCAGGGGGCGCTGCAGGGGGCGCTGCAGGGGGCACCAGCAGGGGGCGCTGCAGGGGGCACCAGCAGGGGGCGCTGCAGGATGAATAACCTGCATCATAGAGATTAGAATGTTTTTTCTCAGTTCCAGGAAGAAATTTTGACAATAAATGTATTTTTTTAAGAATTGTTTTGCTGCTGGAGGTAAAAAGATTATGAAAGTAATTCTTAAATACTTAAAACTGTAAATGTTTTAGTTCAGTCTGATAAAACCCAGACGTAGGAACTGCAGCAGAAATCTCACTTTGCAGTAGTTTGGACTCAGCTGTTGCTCATTTACAGCTTTCTGCCTTTTCCTGATGCAAAATCAAAGAAACTGGAGAAACAAAAGCAGATCTTTACTTTGGAATCTCCACAAATCATTTTGATAATTCTCATAAAACAGTTTATTTAAGACTCAGACGACGCACAAACTGCCTCTTTATAACTTTATCTTCTTAGTGACTGATTGAATTGTTTTGTCATAGTTTTGTGTCTAAATGTTAAATCCTAAACTCGGTGATGTTTGAGTTTACTGTTTTAAGTTTGACTGTTTAACTTAAAGGGAACAGAACGTAACGTTTGGAAATGCTGACGTCAAACACACACAAAGCTGATTTTTGACTGATTCTTATTTGAGTAATCAGTGTAAGTCTGACCCTCTGACCACAGCCACCAAGCCCCTCCCACTGAGGACGTTTACAAAGCATAGGAAGACAAGGTAATTAGCCCTCACTAATTAACTGCTAATGTAGCCTAGCCTAGCCCTAGCTTTAGCCCTAGCTTTAGCCCTAGCTTTAGCCCTAGCTTTAGCCCTAGCTTTAGCCCTAGCAAAGTGTCAGTAGTTAGCCAGATGTTAATAAAATAATAATGTAGAAATGATTTTCCATGACTCTTTATCGCAGTACTATGGCCCGTTACACTTCATTTTAAAGCCTTTTGTTAAACATTTAAATGTCTCTGATCTAGAATAATATTCAATATCATTTCAAAAACAATTCATTCAAAAATATGGAAAACTCCTTTCATTCCACAGTTATATTTCTGAGTTTGACAAGGACTAATGAGGTTTTAATAATTAATAAAGACCTAATTAACCATAAACAACGCTGTTATAGCACTTAATTATCAGTTAGTTCATGAGGGCTAAGCCAAAGTGTCAGAGGATAAAGTATTATCTAGTTTAGTTCAACTCTATTTCCTTTATTCAAACCAGAAACATTTCATTCATTAATAATAATAATAATTATTAATAATAAAGTATTGATGAAAAACTGTGAATAATGTTAAAAATGGTTTAAAAATACTTGAAATGATGTTTATTCTTAGTTTTATTGTGTCCTTCATTCTTCTGAAGTTTGGATCCTTTGGATCCTGACAACAATAAACTAATAATTACATTTATAACCAGTTTTCAGCTTTAGTCCTGTTTAGTCCTGTTTAGTCCTGTTTAGTCCTGTCTAGTCTTGTTTAGACCTGTTTAGTCCTGTTTAGTCCTGTTTAGTCCTGTTTAGTCTTGTTTAGACCTGTTTAGTCCTGTTTAGTCCTGTTTAGTCCTGTTTAGTCTTGTTTAGACCTGTTTAGTCCTGTTTAGTCCTGTTTAGTCCTGTTTAGTCCTGTTTAGTCTTGTTTAGACCTGTTTAGTCCTGTTTAGTCCTGTTTAGTCCTGTTTAGTCTTGTTTAGTCCTGTTTAGTCCTGTTTAGTCCTGTTTAGTCCTGTTTAGTCCTGTTTAGTCCTGTTTAGTCCTGTTTAGTCCCTGTTTAGTCCTGTTTAGTCCTGTTTAGTCCTGTTTAGTCCTGTTTAGTCCTGTTTAGTCCTGTTTAGTCCTGTTTAGTCCTGTTTAGTACCTGTTTAGTCCTGTTTAGTCCTGTTTAGTCCTGTTTAGTCCTGTTTAGTCCTGTTTAGTCCTGTTTAGTCCTGTTTAGTCCTGTTTAGTCCTGTTTAGTCCTGTTTAGTCCTGTTTAGTCCTGTTTAGTCTTGTTTAGACCTGTTTAGTCCTGTTTAGTCCTGTTTAGTCCTGTTTAGTCCTGTTTAGTCCTGTTTAGTCCTGTTTAGTCCTAGCTGTTTAGTCCTGTTTAGTCCTGTTTAGTCCTGTTTAGTAGTCCTGTTTAGTCCTGTTTTAGTCCTGTAGTCCTCTTAGTCCTGTTGTTAGTCCTGTTTAGTCCTGTTGTCTGTTTAGTCTGTTTAGTCCTGTTTAGTCCTGCTTAGTCTGTTTAGTCTTGTTTAGACCTGTTTAGTCCTGTTTAGTCCTGTTTAGTCTTGTTTAGACCTGTTTAGTCCTGCTTAGTCCTGTTTAGTCTTGTTTAGACCTGTTTAGTCCTGTTTAGTCTTGTTTAGACGCAGCAGACGTGTCTTTATGGAAATCTGCTGCGTCTGTAAATGTTATTTAAGTTAATTATCAAGGCTTTTATGTTTTTGTCGTTTTAGTTTGATTTGAACGAAGAGGATTTAAGATAAAACAGAAAAACACCAGAAATTACCTCAAGATTTCATTTATTTTTGGGGCAGAAAAAACAGTTTTTTAACAATATTATGGATAAGGACAGTTTTCTGCTCAGAGGTGAATCTAGTTTGGTCGTTTACAGAGCGTTGCAAAAGTATTCACCCCCTGTGTTATTTCAGTCTCTTCACATTTCTCTGTTTTCACTAAAAACCATGAGTTTGTTAAAAAACTAAATGTGGTTAACGGGGGGTGGATACTTTTGCACAGCACTGGTTTTCTCTCACGTCTTTAAACTGACTTTACTACAGACGTTTAAATGTAATCTACAGACGTTTAAATGTAATCTACAGACGTTTAGATGTAATCTACAGACGTTTAAATGTAATCTACAGACGTTTAAATGTAATCTACAGACGTTTTAGATGTAATCTACAGACGTTTAATGTAAATGTAATCTACAGACGTTTAATGTAATCTACAGACGTAATTACAGACGTTTAATGTAATCTACAGACGTTTAAATGTAATCTACAGTACGTTTAGATGTAATCTACAGACGTTTAAATGTAATCTACAGACGTTTAAATGTAATCTACAGACGTTTAGATGTAATCTACAGACGTTTAAATGTAATCTACAGACGTTTAAATGTAATCTACAGACGTTTAGATGTAATCTACAGACGTTTAAATGTAATCTACAGACGTTTAAATGTAATCTACAGACGTTTAGATGTAATCTACAGACGTTTAAATGTAATCTACAGACGTTTAAATGTAATCTACAGACGTTTAAATGTAATCTACAGACGTTTAAATGTAATCTACAGACGTTTAAATGTAATCTACAGACGTTTAAATGTAATCTACAGACGTTTAAATGTAATCTACAGACGTTTTAATGTAATCTACAGACGTTTAAATGTAATCTACAGAACGTTTTAAATGTAATCTACAGACGTTTAAATGTAATCTACAGACGTTTAGATGTAATCTACAGACGTTTAAATGTAATCTACAGACGTTTAAATGTAATCTACAGACGTTTAAATGTAATCTACAGACGTTTAAATGTAATCTACAGACGTTTAAATGTAATCTACAGACGTTTAAATGTAATCTACAGACGTTTTAAATGTAATCTACAGACGTTTAGATGTAATCTACAGACGTTTAATGTAATCTACAGACGTTTAAATGTAATCTACAGACGTTTTAAATGTAATCTACAGACGTTTAGATGTAATCTACAGACGTTTAAATGTAATCTACAGACGTTTAAATGTAATCTACAGACGTTTAAATTTAAATACAGACGTTTAGTAATCTACAGACGTTTAAATGTAATCTACAGACGTTTAGATGTAATCTACAGACGTTTAGATGTAATCTACAGACGTTTAAATGTAATCTACAGACGTTTAGATGTAATCTACAGACGTTTATGTAATGACCGTTTAGATGTAATCTACAGACGTTTAGATGTAATCTACAGACGTTTAGATGTAATCTACAGACGTTTAGATGTAATCTACAGACGTTTAGACTGTAATTTAGATGTAATCTACAGACGTTTAAATGTAATCTACAGACGTTTAGATGTAATCTACAGACGTTTAAATGTAATCTACAGACGTTTATGATGTAATCTACAGACGTTTAAATGTAATCTACAGACGTTTAGATGTAATCTACAGACGTTTAAATGTAATCTACAGACGTTTAGATGTAATCTACAGACGTTTAAATGTAATCTACAGACGTTTAAAGAAAGCACAGACGTCTTGTTCCAGTAGGATCCACTTTTGACAAAGACACGGATCCAAACCTTCTGATGGTTTGTGTTCACATGTGTGTCCTGGGTCAGAGGTGTCCAGACCGGTTCAGACTGGTCCAGACTGGTCTAGACCGGTCCAGAGAGCGGCCCTTTCTGGACCGGCCCAGACCGGTCTGGACACTCAGCCTTAGGATTCATGTCAGGGATTGGTTTATTTAGGTCCTGATCCTGTAAAAGTCCAGAGAGAAGTATTTTTCCGTAGTTTGGACTGAAGTCACATGTGCAGAGTCTGTTTCAGCCTCAGAGGGTTTGTCCATGGTTTTATTAAAAAGACTCTTTAAGCTCAGTCTGGGTTTGGACCTGAGACCTGTTTGGCCCTAGACCTGTTTGGACCTGAGACCCTGTTTGGACCTAGACCTGTTTGGACCTGAGACCTGTTTGGACCTGAGACCTGTTTGGAGCTTCTTCAGTGTTTCTTCTCGATGTGAGATTTGTCTAAATATGTCTCATTAAAGTTCTGGTACCTGGTTCTGGAGGAAATCCATACTTTTGCCTTGGACTCGGTTGGTTCTGACGACTGAATGTGGACATTTAAAAAGTGTAAAAACAGAAATGTGTCGTTTCTGTCAAATGTAAATTGTGAAATAAACTTTACAACTGCCAAAGTCATTAATGTTTTATTAAACATTTCTCTACAAAGTTACAGGTTTTTCAACGTTATTTAACTTTAGTTTTGATGAAAATGTGCAAAGATGAAGTTTGTTCCACACGGATCTAAAACATCCTCAGTTTTTAGACTTGAACCACCGCAGAAAGAATCCTTTGTGTATTATTCTGAAACAAACTTTATGGGACAATGAGGTGATAAATGTTTACCTCAGATGTTTTTATCTGTTCAAACCAGATTCTCAAACGGAAGAAAAACATTTAGTCTGATTAAAAAACTGTTCCTTCATTTCCTCATTCCAAGAAGGAGCTCAAGTGAAGAAACATTTTTCACAGAAGATACAGTCGGTGAGTCTAAAGTTGTCTGAGTGAAACTACAGTGAAACTACAGTAAAACTACAGTGAAACTACAGTGAAACTACAGTAAAACTACAGTGAAACTACAGTAAAACTACAGTGAAACTACAGTAAAACTACAGTGAAACTACAGTAAAACTACAGTGAAACTACAGTGAAACTACAGTAAAACTACAGTGAAACTACAGTAAAACTACAGTGAAACTACAGTGAAACTACAGTAAAACTACAGTGAAACTACAGTGAAACTACAGTAAAACTACAGTGAAACTACAGTAAAACTACAGTGAAACTACAGTAAAACTACAGTGAAACTACAGTGAAACTACAGTGAAACTACAGTGAAACTAAACTACAGTGAAACTACAGTAAAACTACAGTAAAACTACAATGAAACTACAGTAAAACTACAGTGAAACTACAGTGAAACTACAGTGAAACTAAACTACAGTAAAACTACAGTGAAACTACAGTAAAACTACAATGAAACTACAGTAAAACTAAACTACAGTGAAACTACAGTAAAACTACAGTAAAACTACAGTGAAACTACAGTAAAACTACAGTAAAACTACAGTGAAACTACAGTGAAACTACAGTGTCTGCTGTGTTACTGTCACTGCACCTCCCTCTGGCTCCAGTAGGGGGCGCTGTCCTGCACTGGGCTGGCAGAGAACACACTGGGCAGGCTGCCTCTGAGGCTGTTGTACCAGTGGTCGTGCTGCAGTCCTGGGGGGTTGTTGGGGTGTCGGGGGAAGGGCGGGGGCTGGAGCAGGGGAGGCAGGCGGGGCAGGTGTGGCAGCGGCTGAGGGTAGAACTGATGCCCACCTCCCAGCATGCCCCTGGGCGCCCCCATCACCGACAGCACCTTCTGAGACGCACGCTCCTTCTTACGCTGCTTCGCCCGACGGTTTTGGAACCACACCTGCACCAGTCAGAACCACAATTATACTTTTACACACACAATATTACACAATATTATACACACACAATATTATACACACACAATATTATACACACACAATATTATACACACAGACTTTGGATCATGAGTGAGTTTATTTACTCTTTATATGTTTGTGTCGCACTGAGAGGAGCTGAGACCAGGAGGAGACCCAGGACACAGAGGGAGGAGACCAGGAGGAGACCCAGGACACAGAGGGAGGAGACCAGGAGGAGACCCAGGACACAGAGGAGCTGAGACCAGGAGGAGACCCAGGACACAGAGGGAGGAGACCAGGAGGAGACCCAGGACACAGAGGAGCTGAGACCAGGAGGGAGACCCAGGACACAGAGGGAGGAGACCAGGAGGAGACCCAGGACACAGAGGGAGGAGACCAGGAGGAGACCCAGGACACAAAGGGAGGAGACCAGGAGGAGACCCAGGACACAGAGGGAGGAGACCAGGAGGAGACCCAGGACACAGAGGGAGGAGACCAGGAGGAGACCCAGGACACAGAGGGAGGAGACCAGGAGGAGACCCAGGACACAGAGGAGCTGAGACCAGGAGGAGACCCAGGACACAGAGGGAGGAGACCAGGAGGAGACCCAGGACACAGAGGAGCTGAGACCAGGAGGAGACCCAGGACACAGAGAGGGAGGAGACCAGGAGGAGACCCAGGATACAAAGGGAGGAGACCAGGAGGAGACCCAGGACACAGAGGGAGGAGACCAGGAGGAGACCCAGGATACAGAGGGAGGAGACCAGGAGGAGACCCAGGACACAGAGGGAGGAGACCAGGAGGAGACCCAGGACACAGAGGGAGGAGACCAGGAGGAGACCCAGGACACAGAGGGAGGAGACCAGGAGGAGACCCAGGACACAGAGGGAGGAGACCAGGAGGAGACCCAGGACACAGAGGGAGGAGACCAGGAGGAGACCCAGGACACAAAGGGAGGAGACCAGGAGGAGACCCAGGACACAGAGGGAGGAGACCAGGAGGAGACCCAGGACACAGAGGGAGGAGACCAGGAGGAGACCCAGGACACAGAGGGAGGAGACCAGGAGGAGACAGAGGGAGGATACAGAGGGAGGAGACCAGGAGGAGACCCAGGACACAGAGGGAGGAGACCAGGAGGAGACCCGGGACACAGAGGGAGGAGACCAGGAGGAGACCCAGGACACAGAGGGAGGAGACCAGGAGGAGACCCAGGACACAGAGGGAGGAGACCAGGAGGAGACCCAGGACACAGAGGGAGGAGACCAGGAGGAGACCCAGGACACAGAGGGAGGAGACCAGGAGGAGACCCAGGATACAGAGGGAGGAGACCGGGAGGAGACCCAGGACACAGAGGGAGGAGACCAGGAGGAGACCCAGGACACAGAGGGAGGAGACCAGGAGGAGACCCAGGACACAGAGGGAGGAGACCGGAAGGAGACCCAGGACACAGAGGGAGGAGACCAGGAGGAGACCCAGGACACAGAGGGAGGAGACCAGGAGGAGACCCAGGACACAGAGGGAGGAGACCAGGAGGAGACCCAGGACACAGAGGGAGGAGACCGGGAGGAGACCCAGGACACAGAGGGAGGAGACCAGGAGGAGACCCAGGACACAGAGGGAGGAGACCGGGAGGAGACCCAGGACACAGAGGGAGGAGACCAGGAGGAGACCCAGGACACAGAGGGAGGAGACCAGGAGGAGACCCAGGACACAGAGGGAGGAGACCAGGAGGAGACCCAGGACACAGAGGGAGGAGACCAGGAGGAGACCCAGGACACAAAGGGAGGAGACCAGGAGGAGACCCAGGACACAGAGGGAGGAGACCAGGAGGAGACCCAGGACACAGAGGGAGGAGACCAGGAGGAGACCCAGGACACAGAGGGAGGAGACCAGGAGGAGACAGAGGGAGGATACAGAGGGAGGAGACCAGGAGGAGACCCAGGACACAGAGGGAGGAGACCAGGAGGAGACCCGGGACACAGAGGGAGGAGACCAGGAGGAGACCCAGGACACAGAGGGAGGAGACCAGGAGGAGACCCAGGACACAGAGGGAGGAGACCAGGAGGAGACCCAGGACACAGAGGGAGGAGACCAGGAGGAGACCCAGGACACAGAGGGAGGAGACCAGGAGGAGACCCAGGATACAGAGGGAGGAGACCGGGAGGAGACCCAGGACACAGAGGGAGGAGACCAGGAGGAGACCCAGGACACAGAGGGAGGAGACCAGGAGGAGACCCAGGACACAGAGGGAGGAGACCGGAAGGAGACCCAGGACACAGAGGGAGGAGACCAGGAGGAGACCCAGGACACAGAGGGAGGAGACCAGGAGGAGACCCAGGACACAGAGGGAGGAGACCAGGAGGAGACCCAGGACACAGAGGGAGGAGACCGGGAGGAGACCCAGGACACAGAGGGAGGAGACCAGGAGGAGACCCAGGACACAGAGGGAGGAGACCGGGAGGAGACCCAGGACACAGAGGGAGGAGACCAGGAGGAGACCCAGGACACAGAGGGAGGAGACCAGGAGGAGACAGAGGGAGGAGACCAGGAGGAGACCCAGGACACAGAGGGAGGAGACCAGGAGGAGACCCAGGACACAGAGGGAGGAGACCAGGAGGAGACCCAGGACACAGAGGGAGGAGACCAGGAGGAGACCCAGGACACAGAGGGAGGAGACTTTTACATTAGCCTGACTTTTACATTAGCCTGACTTTTACATTAGCCTGACTTTTACATTAGCCTGACTTTCGTAAACAGCGGTAAAAGTGTTTTTTAGTGTAAATATGTGTTTTTTTAAATATGTGTTTTTTAGATCCCGTGTGGTCCTCCTGGTCCTCCTGGTCCTCCTGGTCCTCACCTGGATCCGGGCCTCGCTGAGCTTGGTGGTCTGGGCCAGCTCCTCGCGGTGGTAGATGTCTGGGTACTGGTTCTGACTGAAGGCCTCCTCCAGCTGCTGCAGCTGTCTGTGGCTGAACGTGGTGCGGTGACGTCTGCGGGACGGAGACGGGAACGCTCTGGTCCTCTGTCCCGACACCGCGGGGGTCCCATAGAGCGGCCCCCGCTGAGGCTCCACGTCTGAAGGGCAGAGAGAGGGGCCTTCAGAACTGTTCTTTATGAGCTTTGACAGGAGTGAAAGAACCTGACCTTAAAAACTAACATAAAAGTGGGTTTCAATAAGTGATTTAAAGAGGATGGAGCCTTTGTTCCTCCAGCAGTCGTTCCAAAGGCGGTTCTAAAGCTGAGGAGCCCGGACAGAGAAGGCTCGGCCCCCCTTCGTCTGGAGCCTCGACCTCGGAACAGTCACAAGGACCTCCTGAGGGTCTGAGGCTGCGGGGGAAGGGGCTGTAGGGGGTTAACAGTTCATAAATATAGCTGAGTGCAAGAAACGAGGAAGAAGATGAGGGAGAAGAGGAGGGAGAAGATGAGGGAGAAGATGAGGGAGAAGAGGAAGGAGAAGAGGAGGGAGAAGATGAGGGAAAAGAGGGAGAAGATGAGGGAGAAGAGGAAGGAGAAGAGGAGGGAGAAGATGAGGGAGAAGATGAGGGAAAAGATGAGGGAGAAGAGGAGGGAGAAGAGGATGGAGAAGAGGAGGGAGAAGATGAGGGAGAAGAGGAGGGAGAAGATGAGGGATAAGATGAGGGAGAAGATGAGGGAGAAGATGAGGGAGAAGATGAGGGAGAAGAGGAGGGAGAAGATGAGGGAGAAGATGAGGGAGAAGAGGAGGGAGAAGATGAGGGAGAAGAGGAGGGAGAAGATGAGGGAGAAGAGGAAGGAGAAGAGGAGGGAGAAGATTAGGGAGAAGATGAGGGAGAAGAGGAGGGAGAAGAGGAGGGAGAAGATGAGGGAGAAGATGAGGGAGAAGAGGAGGGAGAAGATGAGGGAGAAGAGGAAGGAGAAGAGGAGGTAGAAGCTGAGGGAGAAGATGAGGGAAAAGATGAGGGAGAAGAGGAGGGAGAGGGAGAAGAGGAGGGAGAAGATGAGGGAGAAGAGGAGGGAGAAGATGAGGGAGAAGAGGAAGGAGAAGAGGAGGGAGAAGATGAGGGAGAAGATGAGGGAGAAGAGGAGAAGATGAGGGAGAAGAGGAGGGAGAAGATGAGGGAGAAGATGAGGGAGAAGAGGAGGGAGAAGATGAGGGAAAAGAGGGAGAAGATGAGGGAGAAGAGGAAGGAGAAGAGGAGGGAGAAGATGAGGGAGAAGATGAGGGAAAAGATGAGGGAGAAGAGGAGGGAGAAGAGGATGGAGAAGAGGAGGGAGAAGATGAGGGAGAAGAGGAGGGAGAAGATGAGGGATAAGATGAGGGAGAAGATGAGGAGAAGATGAGGGAGAAGATGAGGGAGAAGAGGAGAAGAGGAGGGAGAAGATGAGGGAGAAGATGAGGGAGAAGAGGAAGGAGAAGAGGAGGGAGAAGATGAGGGAGAAGATGAGGGAGAAGAGGAGGGAGAAGATGAGGGAGAAGATGAGGGAGAAGAGGAGGGAGAAGATGAGGGAGAAGAGGAGGTAGAAGCTGAGGGAGAAGATGAGGGAAAAGATGAGGGAGAAGAGGAGGGAGAAGAGGAGAAGAGGAGGGAGAAGATGAGGGAGAAGATGAGGGAGAAGAGGAGGGAGAAGATGAGGGAGAAGAGGAAGGAGAAGAGGAGGGAGAAGATGAGGGAGAAGATGAGGGAGAAGAGGAGAAGATGAGGGAGAAGAGGAGGGAGAAGAGGAGGGAGAAGATGAGGGAGAAGATGAGGGAGAAGAGGAGGAGAAGATGAGGGAGAAGAGGAAGGAGAAGAGGAGGTAGAAGCTGAGGGAGAAGATGAGGGAAAAGATGAGGGAGAAGAGGAGGGAGAAGAGGAGGGAGAAGATGAGGGAGAAGATGAGGGAGAAGAGGAGGGAGAAGATGAGGGAGAAGAGGAGGTAGAAGCTGAGGGAGAAGATGAGGGAAAAGATGAGGGAGAAGAGGAGGGAGAAGAGGAGAAGAGGAGGGAGAAGATGAGGGAGAAGATGAGGGAGAAGAGGAGGGAGAAGATGAGGGAGAAGAGGAAGGAGAAGAGGAGGGAGAAGATGAGGGAGAAGATGAGGGAGAAGAGGAGGGAGAAGATGAGGGAGAAGAGGAGGGAGAAGAGGAAGGAGAAGAGGAGGGAGAAGATGAGGGAGAAGATGAGGGAGAAGAGGAGGGAGAAGATGAGGGAGAAGATGAGGGAGAAGAGGAGGGAGAAGATGAGGGAGAAGAGGAGGTAGAAGCTGAGGGAGAAGATGAGGGAAAAGATGAGGGAGAAGAGGAGGGAGAAGAGGAGGAAGAGGAGGGAGAAGATGAGGGGAGAAGATGAGGGAGAAGAGGAGGGAGAAGATGAGGGAGAAGAGGAAGGAGAAGAGGAGGGAGAAGATGAGGGAGAAGATGAGGGAGAAGAGGAGAAGATGAGGGAGAAGAGGAGGGGAGAAGAGGAGGGAGAAGAGGAGGGAGAAGATGAGGGAGAAGATGAGGGAGAAGAGGAGGGAGAAGATGAGGGAGAAGAGGAAGGAGAAGAGGAGGTAGAAGCTGAGGGAGAAGATGAGGGAAAAGATGAGGGAGAAGAGGAGGGAGAAGAGGAGGGAGAAGATGAGGGAGAAGATGAGGGAGAAGAGGAGGGAGAAGATGAGGGAGAAGAGGAGGGTAGAAGCTGAGGGAGAAGATGAGGGAAAAGATGAGGGAGAAGAGGAGGGAGAAGAGGAGGGAGAAGAGGAGAAGAGGAGGGAGAAGATGAGGGAGAAGATGAGGGAGAAGAGGAGGGATAAGATGAGGGAGAAGAGGAAGGAGAAGAGGAGGGAGAAGATGAGGGAGAAGATGAGGGAGAAGAGGAGAAGATGAGGGAGAAGAGGAGGGAGAAGAGGAGGGAGAAGATGAGGGAGAAGATGAGGGAGAAGAGGAGGGAGAAGATGAGGGAGAAGAGGAAGGAGAAGAGGAGGTAGAAGCTGAGGGAGAAGATGAGGGAAAAGATGAGGGAGAAGAGGAGGGAGAAGAGGAGGGAGAAGAGGATGGAGAAGAGGAGGGAGAAGAGGAGGGAGAAGAGGAGGGAGAAGATGAGGGAGAAGATGAGGGAGAAGATGAGGGAGAAGATGAGGGAGAAGAGGAGGGAGAAGAGGAGGGAGAAGAGGAGGGAGAAGATGAGGGAGAAGAGGAGGGAGAAGAGGAGGGAGAAGAGGGAGAAGATGAGGGAGAAGAGGAGAAGATGAGGGAGAAGAAAAGGGAGAAGAGGAGGGAGATGAGAAGGGAGAAGAGGAGGGAGAAGATGAGGGAGAAGAGGAGGGAGAAGATGAGGGAGAAGAGGAGGGAGAAGATGAGGGATAAGATGAGGGAGAAGATGAGGGAGAAGATGAGGGAGAAGATGAGGGAGAAGATGAGGGAGAAGAGGAGAAGAGGAGGGAGAAGATGAGGGAGAAGATGAGGGAGAAGAGGAGGGAGAAGATGAGGGAGAAGAGGAAGGAGAAGAGGAGGGAGAAGATGAGGGAGAAGATGAGGGAGAAGAGGAGGGAGAAGATGAGGGAGAAGATGAGGGAGAAGAGGAGGGAGAAGATGAGGGAGAAGAGGAGGTAGAAGCTGAGGGAGAAGAAGATGAGGGAAAAAGATGAGGGGAGAAGAGGAGGGAGAAGAGGAGAAGAGGAGGGAGAAGATGAGGGAGAAGATGAGGGAGAAGAGGAGGGAGAAGATGAGGGAGAAGAGGAAGGAGAAGAGGAGGGAGAAGATGAGGGAGAAGATGAGGGAGAAGAGGAGAAGATGAGGGAGAAGAGGAGGGAGAAGAGGAGGGAGAAGATGAGGGAGAAGATGAGGGAGAAGAGGAGGGAGAAGATGAGGGAGAAGAGGAAGGAGAAGAGGAGGTAGAAGCTGAGGGAGAAGATGAGGGAAAAGATGAGGGAGAAGAGGAGGGAGAAGAGGAGGGAGAAGATGAGGGAGAAGATGAGGGAGAAGAGGAGGGAGAAGATGAGGGAGAAGAGGAGGTAGAAGCTGAGGGAGAAGATGAGGGAAAAGATGAGGGAGAAGAGGAGGGAGAAGAGGAGGGAGAAGAGGAGGGAGAAGATGAGGGAGAAGATGAGGGAGAAGAGGAGGGAGAAGATGAGGGAGAAGAGGAAGGAGAAGAGGAGGGAGAAGATGAGGGAGAAGATGAGGGAGAAGAGGAGGGAGAAGATGAGGGAGAAGATGAGGGAGAAGAGGAGGGAGAAGATGAGGGAGAAGATGAGGGAAAAGATGAGGGAGAAGAGGAGGGAGAAGAGGAGGGAGAAGAGGATGGAGAAGAGGAGGGAGAAGAGGAGGGAGAAGAGGAGGGAGAAGATGAGGGAGAAGATGAGGGAGAAGATGAGGGAGAAGAGGAGGGAGAAGAGGAGGGAGAAGATGAGGGAGAAGAGGAGGGAGAAGAGGGAGAAGATGAGGGAGAAGAGGAGAAGATGAGGGAGAAGAAAAGGGAGAAGAAAAGGGAGAGAGGAGGGAGAAGAGGAGGGAGAAGATGAGGGAGAAGATGAGGGAGAAGAGGAGGGAGAAGATGAGGGAGAAGAGGAAGGAGAAGAGGAGGGTAGAAGCTGAGGGAGAAGATGAGGGAAAAGATGAGGGAGAAGAGGAGGGAGAAGAGGAGGGAGAAGAGGATGGGAGAAGAGGAGGGAGAAGAGGAGGGAGAAGAGGAGGGAGAAGATGAGGGAGAAGATGAGGGAGAAGAGGCGGGAGAAGAGGAGGGAGAAGAGATGAGGGAAAAGAGGGAGAAGATGAGGGAGAAGAGGAAGGAGAAGAGGAGGGAGAAGATGAGGGAGAGATGAGGGAAAAGATGAGGGAGAAGAGGAGGGAGAAGAGGATGGAGAGAGAGGGAGAAGATGAGGGAGAAGAGGAGGGAGAAGATGAGGGATAAGATGAGGGAGAAGATGAGGGAGAAGATGAGGGAGAAGATGAGGGAGAAGAGGAAGAGGAGGGAGAAGAGGAGGGAGAAGATGAGGGAGAAGAGGAAGGAGAAGAGGAGGGGAGAAGAGGAGGGAGAAGATGAGGGAGAAGAGGAGGGAGAAGATGAGGGAGAAGATGAGGGAGAAGAGGAAGGAGAAGATGAGGGAGAAGAGGAGGGTAAGAAGCTGAGGGAGAAGATGAGGGAAAGATGAGGGAGAAGAGAGGGAGAAGAGGAGAAGAGGAGGGAGAAGATGAGGGAGAAGATGAGGGAGAAGAGGAGGGAGAAGATGAGGGAGAAGAGGAAGGAGAAGAGGAGGGAGAGATGAGGGAGAAGATGAGGGAGAAGAGGAGAAGATGAGGGAGAAGAGAGGGAGAAGAGGAGGGAGAAGATGAGGGAGAAGATGAGGGAGAAGAGGAGGGAGAAGATGAGGGAGAAGAGGAAGGAGAAGAGGAGGTAGAAGCTGAGGGAGAAGATGAGGGAAAAGATGAGGGAGAGAGGAGGGAGAAGAGGAGGGAGAAGATGAGGGAGAAGATGAGGGAGAAGAGGAGGGAGAAGATGAGGGAGAAGAGGAGGTAGAAGCTGAGGGAGAAGATGAGGGAAAAGATGAGGGAGAAGAGGAGGGAGAAGAGGAGAAGAGGAGGGAGAAGATGAGGGAGAAGATGAGGGAGAAGAGGAGGGAGAAGATGAGGGAGAAGAGGAAGGAGAAGAGGAGGGAGAAGATGAGGGAGAAGATGAGGGAGAAGAGGAGGGAGAAGATGAGGGAGAAGAGGAGGGAGAAGAGGAAGGAGAAGAGGAGGGAGAAGATGAGGAGAAGATGAGGGAGAAGAGGAGGGAGAAGATGAGGGAGAAGATGAGGGAGAAGAGGAGGGAGAAGATGAGGGAGAAGAGGAGGGAGAAGATGAGGGAGAAGAGGAGGGAGAAGATGAGGGAGAAGACGAGGGAGAAGAGGAGAAGAGGAGGGAGAAGATGAGGGAGAAGATGAGGGAGAAGAGGAGGGAGAAGATGAGGGAGAAGATGATAGGAGAAGAGGAGGGAGAAGAGGAGGGAGAAGATGAGGGAGAGAGGAGAAGATGAGGGAGAAGAGGAGGGAGAAGAGGAGGGAGAAGAGGAGGGAGAAGATTGAGGGAGAAGATGAGGGAGAAGAGGAGGGAGAAGATGAGGGAGAAGAGGAAGGAGAAGAGGAGGGAGAAGCGGAGGGAGAAGATGAGGGAGAAGATGAGGGAGAAGAGGGAGGGAGAAGAGGAGGGAGAAGATGAGGGAGAAGATGAGGGAGAGAGGAGGGAGAAGATGAGGGAGAAGAGGAGGGAGAAGATGAGGGAGAAGAGGAGGGAGAAGATGAGGGAGAAGAGGAGGGAGAAGATGAGGGAGAAGAGGAGGGAGAAGAGGAGGGAGAAGAGGAGGGAGAAGAGGAGGGAGAAGATGAGGGAGAAGATGAGGGAGAAGAGGAGGGAGAAGAGGAGGGAGAAGAGGAGGGAGAAGAGGAGGGAGAAGATGAGGGAGAAGATGAGGGAGAAGAGGAGGGAGAAGAGGAGGGAGAAGATGAGGGCGATAACGACTTCATGGAGATCAGGAAGACTGAGAAGGTTTGATCTTGGAGATTGTAGGAAAGTGATTTACTTAAAAGATCTGAGGAGAGAAGATCCAATGTACTCATGTTGTTGAGCATTTAAAGCATCTTAAATAATGTAAACTTTTTATGGACATTGGTCTCTGTGTGTTTTTATCGTTGCATTTCCTGAGTTGGAACAGTTTGATTTTCTGATCTGTGTCGGAGAATTGGTTTTACAAAGTCCTCTGAGAAAACCACAGCTGGGATTTAGGGCGATACATGAGTAAACTGAGTTGAATAGAATTAAAAAAGTAGACCCATCAGCAAAAGGTGTCCAATGTACCTCATGTAACGATAATAATAATAATAATAATAATAATAATAATAATAATAATAATAATTCCCCCAGTGCTTCTCAAAGTGAAACCTCAGAACATCTGACTTCAGTCCAGCCTAATCTAATCTTTTGAGCACAAAGCAAGACTCTAATCATCTATTCTCATTATTTCCGTACTGTGTAATCTGAGCGGTTATTTTTGTTTGTTTGTTAATTAGTATTACTTGTGTTTTAATATAACGATGCATGTATAATGTAGGACCAGGTCTGCAAACAGCTGTTAGCGATACGGCTCCGAACAGCATGGGCTCCTGGGACAACGCTTCCTGTTCTGTCCCTGTCAAATAAACACAGAATAATAATAATAATAATAATAATAATAATAATGTTGCAGTTATGTTGTGCTGATGTCGACTCTGACATTCTTACGTCTGTTTTCAGAAAGGAGAGAAAACACAACAATCCAGAAAACGTGTCCAAAAGAAGGATTAGCGACGGAGCAGCGGCTGTAACCCGAGCCCCAGACGCCCAGGGACCCTCGTGAGAATCAGAACCTGCCGGCTTTAAACCGGATTACTCCAGATTACTCCAGATTACTCCAGATTACTCCAGATTACTCTAGATTACACCCACAAAGTGAGAGACCTGACCCCACTCAGCTCATCACGGTAATGGAAGTGTGAAAAAGTACATTTATATATTTGTTTCTTTCACATCGTGGAAAATGAGGATGTTCGTTGATCTGGAGTTGTTTTCAAACTTATATATTTCTGTATTTATTCATCATACTATACATTTGGTCGATTTGATTTTTTCAGATTGATGGTCTCTCTCTCTGGTCTCTCTCTGGTCTCTCTGGTCTCTCTCTGGTCTCTCTCTGGTCTCTCTCTGGTCTCTCTGGTCTCTCTCTGGTCTCTCTCTGGTCTCTCTCTCTGGTCTCTCTGGTCTCTCTGGTCTCTCTCTCTGGTCTCTCTCTGGTCTCTCTGGTCTCTCTGGTCTCTCTGGTCTCTCTCTGGTCTCTCTCTGGTCTCTCTCTGGTCTCTCTGGTCTCTCTCTGGTCTCTCTCTGGTCTCTCTCTGGTCTCTCACTCTGGTCTCTCTCTCTCTGATCTCTCTCTGGTTTCTCGGTCTCTCTCTGGTCGCCCGGTCTCTCTCTGGTCTCTCTCTCTGGTCTCTATCTGGTCTCTCTGGTCTCTCTGGTCCCTCTGGTCTCTCTCTCTGGTCTCTCTCTCTGGTCTCTCTGGTCTCTCTCTCTGGTCTCTCTCTGGTCTCTCTCTGGTCTCTCAGGTCTCTCTCTCTGGTCTCTCTCTGGTCTCTCTCTGGTCTCTCTCTGGTCTCTCTCTGGTCTCTCTCTGGTCTCTCTCTGGTCTCTCTGGTCTCTCTGGTCTCTCTCTGGTCTCTCTCTCTGGTCTCTCTCTCTGGTCTCTCTGGTCTCTCTGGTCTCTCTCTGGTCTCTCTGGTCTCTCTGGTCTCTCTGGTCTCTCTCTGGTCTCTCTCTGGTCTCTCTCTGGTCTCTCTCTGGTCTCTCTGGTCTCTCTCTCTGGTCTCTCTCTGGTCTCTCTGGTCTCTCTCTCTGGTCGCTCTCTCTGGTCTCTCTCTCTGCTCTCTCTGGTCTCTCTCTGCTCTCTCTGGTCTCTCTGGTCTCTCTCTGGTCTCTCTCTGGTCTCTCTCTGGTCTCTCTCTGGTCTCTCTCTGGTCTCTCTCTGGTCTCTCTCTGGTCTCTCTCTCTGGTCTCTCTCTGGTCTCTCTCTGGTTGCTCTCTCTGGTCTCTCTCTGGTCTCTCTCTGGTCTCTCTCTGGTCTCTCTCTGGTCTCTCTGGTCTCTCTGGTCTCTCTGGTCTCTCTCTGGTCTCTCTCTGGTCTCTCTCTGGTCTCTCTGGTCTCTCTCTCTGGTCTCTCTCTCTGGTCTCTCTCTGGTCTCTCTCTGGTCTCTCTCTGGTCTCTCTCTCTGGTCTCTCTCTCTGGTCTCTCTCTGGTCTCTCTGGTCTCTCTGGTCTCTCTCTCTGGTCTCTCTCTCTGGTCTCTCTCTGGTCTCTCTGGTCTCTCTGGTCTCTCTCTGGTCTCTCTGGTCTCTCTGGTCTCTCTCTGGTCTCTCTCTGGTCTCTCTCTGGTCTCTCTCTGGTCTCTCTGGTCTCTCTGGTCTCTCTGGTCTCTCTCTGGTCTCAGCTGGGTTCAGGATTACACAGAACTGTAGGCCTACGCTCTGCCCTGAATCCACACATTTGTTTTCCTTCTTCAAACCAAGGCCGTGGGCGCCTCCTGGTGGACAGAAGGTAAAGTGCAGAGCTTGAATATGTCATAATTAAAGTCCACTAAATGAACCATCACTGCCTGTGTCTCTGTTGTTGCTGTGTGGCACAATTATGAAAAATAAAAACATAACATAATAATTCTCTCCTGGATCAAAACCACACAGAATAAAACACATTTTCTGTCATCAATAACTCACTATAACTTATATAATAACTTTGAGCAGCTTCATTATCTATGAAGTAAAGTAAGTCTGGATCATGGATCTATAATAACTGGAGTGAGAACAAGGCCTTCAGCAGAGTAGACGCATATTGATGACGTCCTGCGACCACAAGATGGCAGTGTTGCTTCAGATAAAAATGCAGTTTACTTATAATTCTCTTTTTTTTTTCTTTAAAGGTGGCATTTCAGCCGCGGCGATTTGCATTAACCTCAGTGTGGGAATCCTCCTAAAAGACTATTAATACATTTATTTTATTTCATTTTATTGTTGTATTGTTTTGTTTTTTTAATTTTATTTATTTTAATTAATTGTATGTATTTCCTTTCTCCCTCACTGCTCTGTTTATTAAAGTATTGATCCATGAGGCCCATATCTCACCTCTGGTGTAATTAATCTAAAGTATAGAGAAAATCTAATAATGAGCCACTCCCTGAAAATCTACTGCTCGAGTCTCTGGAAGTGTTTCTAAATGTGTGGGTGAGACTCGGACCTGTTTCTCCTGGACCTGCTCAGAGGACCTCATGTGTGGGTGAGACTCGGACCTGTTTCTCCTGGACCTGCTCAGAGGACCTCATGTGTGGGTGAGACTCGGACCTGTTTCTCCTGGACCTGCTCAGGGGGGACCTCATGTGTGGGTGAGACTCGGACCTCTTTCTCCTGGACCTGCTCAGGGGGGACCTCATGTGTGGGTGAGACTCGGACCTGTTTCTCCTGGACCTGCTCAGGGGGGACCTCATGTGTGGGTGAGACTCGGACCTGTTTCTCCTGGACCTGCTCAGGGGGGGACCTCATGTGTGGGTGAGACTCGGACCTCTTTCTCCTGGACCTGCTCAGGGGGGGACCTCATGTGTGGGTGAGACTCGGACCTGTTTCTCCTGGACCTGCTCAGAGGACCTCATGTGTGGGTGAGACTCGGACCTCTTTCTCCTGGACCTGCTCAGAGGACCTCATGTGTGGGTGAGACTCGGACCTCTTTCTCCTGGACCTGCTCAGGGGGGGACCTCATGTGTGGGTGAGACTCGGACCTCTTTCTCCTGGACCTGCTCAGGGGGGACCTCATGTGTGGGTGAGACTCGGACCTGTTTCTCCTGGACCTGCTCAGGGGGGGACCTCATGTGTGGGTGAGACTCGGACCTCTTTCTCCTGGACCTGCTCAGGGGGGGACCTCATGTGTGGGTGAGACTCGGACCTCTTTCTCCTGGACCTGCTCAGGGGGGACCTCATGTGTGGGTGAGACTCGGACCTGTTTCTCCTGGACCTGCTCAGGGGGGACCTCATGTGTGGGTGAGACTCGGACCTGTTTCTCCTGGACCTGCTCAGGGGGGGACCTCATGTGTGGGTGAGACTCGGACCTCTTTCTCCTGGACCTGCTCAGGGGGGGGCCTCATGTGTGGGTGAGACTCGGACCTCTTTCTCCTGGACCTGCTCAGGGGGGGACCTCATGTGTGGGTGAGACTCGGACCTCTTTCTCCTGGACCTGCTCAGGGGGGACCTCATGTGTGGGTGAGACTCGGACCTGTTTCTCCTGGACCTGCTCAGGGGGGACCTCATGTGTGGGTGAGACTCGGACCTCTTTCTCCTGGACCTGCTCAGGGGGGGCCTCATGTGTGGGTGAGACTCGGACCTCTTTCTCCTGGACCTGCTCAGGGGGGGACCTCATGTGTGGGTGAGACTCGGACCTCTTTCTCCTGGACCTGCTCAGGGGGGACCTCATGTGTGGGTGAGACTCGGACCTCTTTCTCCTGGACCTGCTCAGGGGGGACCTCATGTGTGGGTGAGACTCGGACCTCTTTCTCCTGGACCTGCTCGGGGGGGACCTCATGTGTGGGTGAGACTCGGACCTCTTTCTCCTGGACCTGCTCAGAGGACCTCATGTGTGGGTGAGACTCGGACCTCTTTCTCCTGGACCTGCTCAGGGGGGGACCTCATGTGTGGGTGAGACTCGGACCTCTTTCTCCTGGACCTGCTCAGAGGACCTCATGTGTGGGTGAGACTCGGACCTCTTTCTCCTGGACCTGCTCAGGGGGGGACCTCATGTGTGGGTGAGACTCGGACCTTTTTCTCCTGGACCTGCTCAGAGGACCTCATGTGTGGGTGAGACTCGGACCTCTTTCTCCTGGACCTGCTCAGGGGGGGGCCTCATGTGTGGGTGAGACTCGGACCTCTTTCTCCTGGACCTGCTCAGGGGGGGACCTTATGTGTGGGTGAGACTCGGACCTCTTTCTCCTGGACCTGCTCAGGGGGGGACCTCATGTGTGGGTGAGACTCGGACCTCTTTCTCCTGGACCTGCTCAGAGGACCTCATGTGTGGGTGAGACTCGGACCTCTTTCTCCTGGACTTGCTCAGGGGGGGAACTTCATGTGTAGGTGGGACTCGGACCTCTTTCTCCTGGACCTGCTCAGGGGGGGACCTCATGTGTGGGTGAGACACGGACCTCTTTCTCCTGGACCTGCTCAAAGGACCTCATGTGTGGGTGGGACTCGGGCCTCTTTCTCCTGGACCTGCTCAGAGGACCTCATGTGTGGGTGAGACTCGGACCTCTTTCTCCTGGACCTGCTCAGAGGACCTCATGTGTGGGTGAGACTCGGACCTCTTTCTCCTGGACCTGCTCAGGGTGGGACCTCATGTGTGGGTGAGACTCTGACCTTTTTCTCCTGGACCTGCTCAGAGGACCTCATGTGTGGGTGAGACTCGGACCTGTTTCTCCTGGACCTGCTCAGGGGGGGGCCTCATGTGTGGGTGAGACTCGGACCTCTTTCTCCTGGACCTGCTCAGGGGGGGACCTCATGTGTGGGTGAGACTCGGACCTCTTTCTCCTGGACCTGCTCAGGGGGGGACCTCATGTGTGGGTGACAACTCGGACTCTCTTTCTCCTGGACCTGCTCAGGGGGGGACCTCATGTGTGGGTGAGACTCGGACCTCTTTCTCCTGGACCTGCTCAGGGGGGGACCTCATGTGTGGGTGAGACTCGGACCTGTTTCTCCTGGACCTGCTCAGGGGGGGACCTCATGTGTGGGTGAGACTCGGACCTCTTTCTCCTGGACCTGCTCAGGGGGGGACCTTATGTGTGGGTGAGACTCGGACCTCTTGCTCCTGGACCTGCTCAGGGGGGGACCTCATGTGTGGGTGAGACTCGGACCTCTTTCTCCTGGACCTGCTCAGGGGGGGACCTCATGTGTGGGTGAGACACGGACCTCTTTCTCCTGGACCTGCTCAGAGGACCTCATGTGTGGGTGAGACTCGGACCTCTTTCTCCTGGACCTGCTCAGAGGACCTCATGTGTGGGTGAGACACGGACCTCTTTCTCCTGGACCTGCTCAGAGGACCTCATGTGTGGGTGAGACACGGACCTCTTTCTCCTGGACCTGCTCAGAGGACCTCATGTGTGGGTGAGACTCGGACCTCTTTCTCCTGGACCTGCTCAGGGTGGGACCTCATGTGTGGGTGAGACTCGGGCCTCTTTCTCCTGGACCTGCTCAGAGGACCTCATGTGTGGGTGAGACTCGGACCTCTTTCTCCTGGACCTGCTCAGGGGGGGACCTCATGTGTGGGTGAGACTCGGACCTGTTTCTCCTGGACCTGCTCAGGGGGGACCTCATGTGTGGGTGAGACTCGGACCTCTTTCTCCTGGACCTGCTCAGGGGGGGACCTCATGTGTGGGTGAGACTCGGACCTCTTTCTCCTGGACCTGCTCAGGGGGGGACCTCATGTGTGGGTTAGACATGGACCTCTTTCTCCTGGACCTGCTCAGGGGGGGACCTCATGTGTGGGTGAGACTCGGACCTCTTTTTCCTGGACCTGCTCAGGGGGGGACCTCATGTGTGGGGGCTGTGGCGCTCTCGGCTCGTTCCGCTCTCTTAATTGTTGTTGGATTAAGCTCTGAGCCGTGACACACACTGGGCCTCTGTGGGCAGGATAATGACGGATCATTATGAAGGTTATATTTAGGCCTGGGCTGAAAGGAGGAAAGGCTGTTCATGGATCTACACACCATCAACAAAGAGGAACACACGGACCATCAACAAACAGGAACACACGGACCATCAACAAAGAAGAGCACACGGACTATCAACAAAGAAGAACACACGGACCATCAACAAAGAGAAACATACGGACCATCAACAAAGAGGAACACACGGACCATCAACAAACAGGAACACACGGACCATCAACAAAGAAGAGCACACGGACCATCAACAAAGAAGAACACACGGACCATCAACAAAGAAGAACACGGACCATCAACAAACAGGAACACACGGACTATCAACAAAGAAGAGCACACGGACCATCAACAAAGAAGAACACACGGACCATCAACAAAGAGAAACATACGGACCATCAACAAAGAAGAACACACGGACCATCAACAAAGAGGAACACACGGACCATCAACAAAGAGGAACACACGGACCATCAACAAACAGGAACACACGGACCATCAACAAACAGGAACACACGGACCATCAACAAACAGGAACACACGGACCATCAACAAACAGGAACACACGAGATGAACCACCTCCTCATCAACGCGGGGCAGACTAAGGAGATGGTGGTGGATTTCTGCAGACGTCACTCTGCCGCTCCAGCTCCAGTGAACATCCAGGGAAAGGACATCGAGAGAGTGGACTCTTACAAGTACCTGGGTGTTCATCTGAACCACAAACTGGACTGGACTCATAACACAGACGCCCTCTTCAAGAAGGGCCAGAGCCGGCTCTACCTGCTGAGGAGGCTCAGGTCTTTTGGAGTGCAGGGGCCACTCCTGAAGACCTTCTATGACTCTGTGGTGGAGCCTCTTGTACGGTGTGGTCTGCTGGAACAGCAGTATCACAGAGAGGGACAGGAAGAAGCTGGAACATCAGGAAGTCCAGCTCAGTCCTGGGCTGTTCCCTGGACACAGTGCAGCAGGTGGGGGACAGGATGTTGAGCAAACTAACATCTATGCTGGACCATGACTGTCGCCCCCTGCAGGACACTCTCTCTGCTCTGGAGAGCAGCTTCAGTGACAGACTAATTCACCCTCGCTGTGTGAAGGTCTTTCCTTCCTGCTGCTGTCAGACTGTACAAAGAGGACTGCTGAGTTTACAAATGTCATTCATCTGTAAAGAAGTAAATTCTTAAATCATGTGCAATGTGCAATACTGTCCTATATGTACAGTATATAACTCTGTCCTATATGTACAGTATATAACTCTGTCCTATATGTACAGTATATAACTCCTGTCTATATGTACAGTATATAACTCCTGTCCTATATGTACAGTATATAACTCTGTCCTATATGTACAGTATATAACTCCTGTCCTATATGTACAGTATATAACTCTGTCCTATATGTACAGTATATAACTCCTGTCCTATATGTACAGTATATAACTCCTGTCCTACATGTACAGTATATAACTCCTGTCCTATATGTACAGTATATAACTCCTGTCTATATGTACAGTATATAACTCCTGTCCTATATGTACAGTATATAACTCTGTCCTATATGTACAGTATATAACTCTGTCCTATATGTACAGTATATAACTCTGTCCTATATGTACAGTATATAACTCCTGTCCTATATGTACAGTATATAACTCCTGTCCTATATGTACAGTATATAACTCCTGTCTATATGTACAGTATATAACTCCTGTCCTATATGTACAGTATATAACTCCTGTCCTATATGTACAGTATATAACTCCTGTCCTATATGTACAGTATATAACTCCTGTCCTATATGTACAGTATATAACTCCTGTCCTATATGTACAGTATATAACTCCTGTCCTATATGTACAGTATATAACTCCTGTCCTATATGTACAGTATATAACTCCTGTCCTATATGTACAGTATATAACTCCTGTCCTATATGTACAGTATATAACTCCTGTCCTATATGTACAGTATATAACTCCTGTCCTATATGTACAGTATATAACTCCTGTCCTATATGTACAGTATATAACTCTGTCCTATATGTACAGTATATAACTTAGCACTACTACATATATATATATTTAAGACTGGTATTGAAGCATTTACAGCTAGTGAAGAAACATTGGTACTAATTATCTTGTGTAATTTGTGTGCTCCCTGTGGGCTCTAACTACTGTCCTTACTACTGTCCTTACTACTGTCCTTACTACTGACCTTACTACTGTCCTTACTACTGTCCTTACTACTGACCTTACTACTGACCTTACTACTGTCCTTACTACTGACCTTACTACTGTCCTTACTACTGTCCTTACTACTGACCTTACTACTGACCTTACTACTGTCCTTACTACTGTCCTTACTACTGTCCTTACTACTGACCTTACTACTGTCCTTACTACTGTCCTTACTACTGACCTTACTACTGTCCTTACTACTGTCCTTACTACTGACCTTACTACTGTCCTTACTACTGACCTTACTACTGTCCTTACTACTGACCTTACTACTGTCCTTACTACTGTCCTTACTACTGACCTTACTACTGTCCTTACTACTGTCCTTACTACTCCTTACTACTGACCTTACTACTGTCCTTACTACTGTCCTTACTACTGTCCTTACTACTGACCTTACTACTGTCCTTACTACTGTCCTTACTACTGACCTTACTACTGTCCTTACTACTGTCCTTACTACTGTCCTTACTACTGTCCTACTTACTACTGTCCTTACTACTGTCCTTACTACTGTCCTTACTACTGTCCTTACTACTGTCCTTACTACTGTCCTTACTACTGTCCTTACTACTGACCTTACTACTGTCCTTACTACTGTCCTTACTACTGTCCTTACTACTGTCCTTACTACTGTCCTTACTACTGACCTTACTACTGTCCTTACTACTGTCCTTACTACTGTCCTTACTACTGTCCTTACTACTGTCCTTACTACTGACCTTACTACTGTCCTTACTACTGTCCTTACTACTGACCTTACTACTGTCCTTACTACTGTCCTTACTACTGACCTTACTACTGACCTTACTACTGTCCTTACTACTGACCTTACTACTGTCCTTACTACTGACCTTACTACTGTCCTTACTACTGTCCTTACTACTGACCTTACTACTGTCCTTACTACTGACCTTACTACTGACCAAAAAGGCCACGTCATGACAATAAGGATTAATTACATCTATAGTTTATCTAGTAATAAAGAACCTATTTTCACTTTTGTAATGACTTACACCACAACGTACTTCAAAAAGTAATACATTACTTCTATAGGGCTTGTGCAAAAGTAACTAGTTACTCCCAAACACAGACTGTAAATATTAACGGACAGAGTCACGCCTATCTCCGTCGTTCAAACTAATGGGCCAAAAATTGTGCTCTACTGGAGCTATCCAAAATGGCCGCGAGTGGTACCACCCCAAAGAAAATAGTGAAAAAACACATCTGTGCATGCGTCAGCCGGAGAGAGCTCCATTCATTTGAACGAGAGACTTCTAAAGTCCACAGCGACTAAACTAGACTGGTCCAGAACACTCAGCATTGACACACATGTGGAACGGAGCTTTGGGCCAAGAGACAACTTTTGGACCATCCTGTAAAGACGTTTTCCAGAGGTAAGAAGATGCTATATGTTAGCGTTGAATAATTCTTATCCCGGGTCCACCCCCACAGGCCCGGGGTGGTACTGCAGCATGTCAGCGCACGTCCTTTGGACACTTTTGAGCCTGGACCCGCCCACACTGGTCCTAACAGGCCTTCTACCCTCAGACTCACAATGGTTTTTGTAAATAATGTAAAACAATTGACTGGACTGGCTTCATATCTAACGAGCTGTGTATTACATCAGAGGCTCTCGTGTTGATAATTAGCCACCACAGCCTTCATTACTCCACCTGTCCATCCATTCTTCCACTTCATCCGTTGCCGGGTCACAGGGGCAGCAGTCTAAGCAGAGACGCCCAGACTTCCCTCTCACACACTTCCTCCAGCTCGTCCGGGGGGACCCCAAGGCGTTTCCAGAGAGAGACATAGGCTGCGGTCAAAGCCTGGTTAAAGTGTGCCAGGGCCCACTTCGCAGTTTGAGCCGGGCTTTAGGTGCCATCTGACCGCGGCATTCGCAGGCCCGGTTAAAAACTGCGGCCAGGGCCCGCTTCCCAGTGGCGATGAGGGGGGTCAGTGTGGCGGGTGGTGGGGAGTGGGGGATTAGGTGTGTTGGGGACTTGATATTGTGCGTCACATTACGTCTTCCTGTGACACGCATTTTCACACACGTCTCTCCTGCACTTTCGTATTCTCCGCTGTGTTAAACCTTTAATAAAAGGACCGTGCTCGAGGGGCGCTGGGGGAGTGTCTCTCTGCAGAGCCAAAGAAAAGCGTTTCCTACGGGTATAGCTCTCTTCTGTCCTGACCGTCGCTCTCAGTGTGGTGCTATTGCAATAACACTTCAGACATTCAAGAATCAGTCTTTATTTAATCACCAGAACACACACAAACACACACACTAGTAACCTCCCTGTCTGCGGTCGCTCTGCTCCTACGCCACACTTTTCATTCCTTCATTCTCATTCATTCATTTCTCAGCGCTCTTACGCTCGTTGCTAAAGAGTGTGTGTTTGTGTGAGTGTGTCCGCGGCGCGCACACACTCACACAAACACGTGTGCATTCACATGCTACCCACACGTTACTTACTGAACTGCTGCACTTTGCATCAAAGCAATGTGGACGAGTGTGAGATGTATCTTTCTCTAAACAACGTGATCCGTACTGAGCTGTTAGCTACTGTAGCTGTAGCTGTTAGCTGTTAGCTACAGTGGCAGAATGTAAACAGGAGAAGAAGCGGATCTCAACCAGGGCAACGAGGTAGTCTCTGGTGTTAGTATTAGCGCCACCAGCTGGACCGAGTGTTGTACTACAGCACAATTTCCCTGGCACGGTTCAGACGATACGTTCATGTGACCGCGGGCCGTTTTCACACCCCTGTGGCGACGACCCGGGCCACTTGGCCCAGTTCGTTTGTAAAAACCTATGTGACCGTGTCCAGCGTCCCTCTGTGTCCTGGGTCTTCCCCTTGTTTATTAAGCGTGGCCAGCTCCGATGGTGACGAAGTGGCCGGAACTACTGGCGGATAAATACAAATATCTGACCTCCCCTTGTCTCCTGAACGACTGAACGATGACGTCACGGTGGTAAATATTCCTATTACTTGATACGTTTTTGACAGGATAGTGACAAAATCCTTCTTTAAAGCTGCTCTTTTTCAGACAATAAACATCTACATATAGAATCCTACAGCACAAATAGCACTTGTAATATTCTAGATAAAGATGGAGTTCCTGGTCCATCAGTCAAGTATAAACTCCTCCAACGCGTGACAGCAGCCAGGATCATGAAGCTGCTCCCAGAGTAATCTCCACATTATTTTATGATCATCCTCATTTAGATTCTGTTTGATGTGTGCATAACCTGAGTGATCTTATTTTCTGCTTCTATTCGACTGTAATGTGCAATGAATGTAAACAGGTCTGAATGTAATGAGTGGATGGTGTTTGGTCGGAGGCTTTGATGGACCAGTGTGTTCTGCATCTCACTTTTCTCATCACTGTGTGGAAAGAACAATGTCTGAACTCTGACCATTGTAAATATCTTTGGGTTGAAATGTGCTATATAAATAAATATTAATGACTTATATACAATGATTACATCAACATTTCCCAACAGTGAAACGAACAAATGTTTATCTTATTTTATCTCAGTGACGTGATATAGGGCTGTTAAAAGTGTAAAGGACGGTTTGTTTTGCTTCCGTTTGGATCATCAAGACTATTGGTCCTCCTAGTTGTCAATCATTCTGGTGATATGTGCTCGTCCAATAAGACCAGAGATTTGTGTTTACAAAGTGGAGAGGGCAGTTCTTTCCTAAATAAAACAAAAGGGTAAATCCTCCTAAATACCTCTACTGTATTTCTATGAAAACCACTATTCCTTTGACTTTCTAAAAGCCCTCACAGCCGTCCTAAGGTTTTCTTCTGTGAGGATGGACGTGGAGGCCTTGTATTTGGGGCAAACATCATCATCCTCAGACCCTCGTCTCCAGGACGTGACATCAGAAGCTTCTGGCCTTTATAAACCACTCTCTCCACGTTTCCAAGCAGCTGCCAGCGGAGAGCCTCGTCCCTGCTGCCCGCCCATTGGCCTCGGGAGACGCCTATCAGAGGATCCAGGCCGGGGCTCGTCCTATAGCGGCTCCCTGCGGTCCGTGTGGGCCCCGGTCCCTCGGAACTGTCCTCTCCATTGGCCCCGCTGTCATTGGCCCCAGCGCTGGTCATGTCTGCTCCAGTCTGCTCCAGTCTTCGCAGTCATGTTGGTTAGACCCGCACCATGACGAAGACATGCCTCCCGTCGGCCTAAAACAGCCACATTTATGTTTTAAAGGACTCTAGTTTGTATTTATTGGGCTGTGGAAGGCCTCGGGATGTTACGTTCACGTACGCGTGGGAATTATGCCCTTCCATCCGCCGCGGAGCTGCGCTACAGGGCTATAAGCCTGACTTCTCTTAAAAGCCATTTTTTGCAGACAAAGAAAGCTGTTGAATAGTGCTTTCACACGGGCACACGGGTAAGTCATCCTCCCCAGGAACAGCCCCTCTTTCCCGCATGCCACGGCCGTCTCTTCAGTGTGTATCAGCTTTGCACGGCCGCCAAATTTAATTATGTAATTTTCTCCGAGGATTTTTTTTCTTCGCCCTAGCTAACATGCTAACATGCTAACATGCTAACATGCTAACATGCTAACATGCTAACATGCTAACATGCTAATCTGCTAACATGCTAACATGCTAATCTGCTAACATGCTAACATGCTAACATGCTAACATGCTAACATGCTAACATGCTAACATGCTAATCTGCTAACATGCTAACATGCTAACATGCTAATCTGCTAACATGCTAACATGCTAACATGCTAACATGCTAACATGCTAACATGCTAATCTGCTAACATGCTAACATGCTAACATGCTAATCTGCTAACATGCTAACATGCTAACATGCTAACATGCTAACATGCTAATCTGCTGTCGCTGCACGATCCGCGGCAGGCGTGTAGTTAGCTTTGACATGTACCAGTAATAACGCAGTAATAGCTGTTTATACGCAGAAACAGCACTAATATTATCAAAGAGTTAACACTGGACTAACCTCCGGGGCTCTGTTGTGCACGTACATATATAAATACATACATATATCTGTGAAAGATCTACAGACAGATCATACTGTTTCATTGTCTTACGTCTGAAGTTGTTTTTCGCACTTGGATTTATTGAGGAAACGTTTGATGAAGACGTTAAACTGAGACATAATGAATCTTTAGTAGTTTTGTTCTTCACGTTGGAACGGATCAGGCAGTGGCGTGAACGGTCTCTCCTCTGAGCTTTTCTGATAAACCAGAGATAAAAATGGGTGTAAATGGTGTTTTTTGACCACCACGTTGTGATGTAGTGTTGTGTAGTGCTGTTTAGTGTTGTGTAGTGTTGTGTAGTGCTGTTTCTTGGAGCTGCCACTCTGGTTTTTGAGCTTGTAACTTTCTGCACAGGACCGAGTCTGGATGAGGCCTGCTGACCCCATAGGCCTCTGTCAGATCCTCCAATATACACCAAACTTTACTTTAATTATGTTTCCTGCAGATTGAACACACGTCCCAGAGTCTGTAAACTCTGTACATGTAATGGTTGCAGTCATTACTAATAATAACACTTTGTAAATGTCCCTACTTGTTTTCCAGCCTGAGATTGTGGAGAATGTGGGGAATCCTTTTTATTGAATGATGTTGTCATAGTTATAAATAATATATGATTGACAGAATGGTAGCACATTGATTCTTTAAAACTGCTCTTTTTCTGAAGGCAAACCTTAACATATAGAATTCTACAGCACAAACAGCGCTGTGTTGTAATATTGCAGATATAGATTTCTAGGTCCATCGTTAGTAAAGTAAGTCCAGTCGTTCAAAAGGGGATACAGCCTGTGTTTATGTAATACAGGGGTTTTAATGTATTTCTGTGAAAACCATTATTTTTTGGACTCTCTAAGCATCGGGCAGTTAGTTTACGTGTTTACTCAGAAAGACTGAGCAGCTATACAGTTTAATCCCTCTCTCCCAAATGTGCACCTAGTTTTAAACAATGACAATATGACCTCATAAGAACTCACACTATTATGAAAGTATTAAATAATCACAAACTGCTGCTGAGGATGTAAATATGTCCTGCCTGTGGGTTTTCAGTATCTTGCTTGAATATGTTTCTAGTTTTTATGCTAGTTTTAAGTTAGATTAATGACGGATTCCTTCATTGTTAATCCGAGCCAGGTTTTAGTAAGTTTCACATTTTTCAACACAGCAGGAGACTTTCACATGTAGTCTTAATGTTGGAGGTAAATGTGCAGGAACAACATTAGAACAAAGTGGTTATAAATCACCTCGCATATTTCAGTCTTGTTATTATAAATGTTGTAAAGAGGCTTTATGGTCCCACCATGTGCATGACTGGCTTTATGTATCGCTAAATTAAGAAAACATCCGTGACATTGCAATACTAATAATAATTAAGCCCAAAATGATTTAGGTTCACTCTGAAAGTAGAATCAGCTGCATTGTTTTACCGCATACACGTATGATCCGTCTGATTTGTCTAAAAATGAACAGAATCAGTGCATTTATGTGATTTTTATCTCGGCATTTGAATGAATACTTTATTCTGAGTATTAAGTAAATAATATACAATAATACAGTCAGTTTTGTTGTATTGACATTGTTGGTGAATCCTGTCCTTCTCGTAGACCTGTGATCATAATTCTGTATCTTTCTTCTGCATTATATCTTTCCTCTGTTAGAGCCGTCTTTATAACAGCTCATTATGAAGAGGAAACCTTTGGTGGAGAAAGAGTGATTAACGGTCCTCATTATGAATGCACGGCCCCGGAGCTGGGATCTCGTTAGCTGTGGCCTGAAGGCGTTCCATAATCTTGTCTCCAGTTCTTTTGCTGTGATCCCTGGAGAATGGGTGTGTTGGACTTGGCCTATAACTATTTGTATTTTCCACTTTGGGCTTTTGAGCAGCAGAAGGAGCGGGTCACTCTGCGTTTTGTTATGGACGCCACATACTCCAGGGTTATATCGGACAAGCATCGTTTCAATTATTAATCCTAACTTTGCTGGGACAGTGCCAGTCTGTTTGGGTTCTCAACTCATTGAAATAGGGATGCACCCTTTTTTCAAAGAGTACCTTAATTTGAGTCAATATAAGTAGTCTGTGTTATCTCTGGGAATTCATAAAACTAATACAACTGGAATTCAAAATGGCTGCAGTAATATAACTTTACACAGAAAAACAAGGACATTTCTTCAATAGATGGAATTTGCACCATTTACACAAAAGTAAAATGTGGTTTGATCAAGAAATGTACAGTTTATACTAGGGGTGTGACAATATATCGTTTTTTTTTTTTTTTTTTGTACAAATATTATTTTTTGAATGGTATCAATACTTAATATATGGCTACATTACGCATCTCCATTCTATTTATCATGAAATAAAGAGTAATTTTTCTTTTATTTATGCCATAAATTGGCATATTGTATATTTCTGACCAATATATCAATAATCGTCATATCGTGATATTATCGTTATCGTGAGCTTTGTATCGTGTATCGTATCGTATTGTGAGGTACCCTTAGGTTCCCACCCCTAGTTTATACACTAGGAAACCTAAAAAGAAACTTTAAAATCATAAATAATCAGTGAGGGAAGATTAAAACCCAACTGTCTTTAACCTGGATTTAAATATTGTCAGAAGAAGTCTCGCACATTTTCAGGAAGATTATAGCTGCATAAATGTGTAATGCTGCCCCCTTATGTTTAGTCCTGACTCTGGGACCAGCAGGAGGCCAGTCCCTGTGCTCCTCAGAGTCCCAGCAGGAGGCCAGTCCCTGTGCTCCTCAGAGTCCCAGCAGGAGTCCAGTCCCTGTGCTCCTCAGAGTCCCAGCAGGAGTCCAGTCCCTGTGCTCCTCAGAGTCCCAGCAGGAGTCCAGTCCCTGTGCTCCTCAGAGTCCCAGCAGGAGTCCAGTCCCTGTGCTCCTCAGAGTCCCAGCAGGAGGCCAGTCCCTGTGCTCCTCAGAGTCCCAGCAGGAGGCCAGTCCCTGTGCTCCTCAGAGTCCCAGCAGGAGGCCAGTCCCTGTGCTCCTCAGAGTCCCAGCAGGAGGCCAGTCCCTGTGCTCCTCAGAGTCCCAGCAGGAGGCCAGTCCCTGTGCTCCTCAGAGCAGGAGGCCAGTCCCTGTGCTCCTCAGAGCAGGAGGCCAGTCCCTGTGCTCCTCAGAGCAGGAGGCCAGTCCCTGTGCTCCTCAGAGCAGGAGGCCAGTCCCTGTGCTGGTTGATATTGTAGTTTAATCTACTGTCAACAACTATTATTTTGAGCGTGGAGTTTGTTGCCAAAGATCTCGGAGCACGGTGTCTGAGTGATTATCGCTGTCGCCTCAAAGCAAGAAGCTCCTGAGTCGACATAAATGGACTTTGAATCTTCTGCCCGTGATTGAGTAGGTTTCCTCCAGGTGCTCCTGTTGCTCCTGGTTGTGGGGTTCAAGCCCACCTCGAGACCTTCTCCACCGACTCCCACTGACGTCTGCTGTCGTTGTGTCCTGGGGCAAGACACTTAACCCACTTTGAAGCCCCCACTGCAAGATCAAGGCTGTGAGCCTCCTCCTGTGGACCCACCTCCTGCAGGAGGATCCAACTGTCCCCCGACCCAGAAATGGATTAAAGCAGACATGTCCAAACTCAGGCCCGGGGGCCAATTGCGGCCCTCAGTGCCATTTAATGTGGCCTTCTGCTGCTAACACAAAGTTACCCCCTCTCCTCTTACCCCCTGTAGTACTGACTATTACCTCCAGGGGACTCCTCTTACTCCTCTCTTTGTGCACAGATGTAATAAGATGCAGATTGTACCTTTGTGCACAGATGAGTCACTGTAATGGCCGCTCCTGGCACTTTGAGAGGATCATGAATAATACCATCTTATTTGATTGAAGGCTTCATAACGTCTGTGGATGTTGTGTTCTGAGACCAGGGAGTTATACATCTGATAACAATGATATTATTGTATATTTGTAGAGAATTGTATTAAAGATACAGATCTGTTGTAGGGCCATAATGTACAGATACTTTATTTAACATGGGTTTGGTACGACAAGGGCGACAGGAGCTCAGTTGTAGAGCATTGGGCTTTGAGCCAGAAGGTTGTGGGTTCGGGCCCACCATAACTGCTAATTTACACAGGAGGCGTTACAGCACGTACGCGTTACAGCACGTACGCATTACAGCACGTACGCGTTATACGCGCGTAACTTTTTTCCATGTTCCATGATGATATTTACACTTCTAGCGTTATACGCGTGTATGACGCAAAGCTGCGCTCTAATTTAGGATGGATTTCTAATTTTGTGCGCGCACCAACGCGTCTCCCATTGAAATCTCATGTTTAACACGATTTTTCTAGCGATCCTAGATCGCACACACACACACACACACACACACACACACACACACACACACACACACACACACACACACACACACACACACACACACACACACACACACACACACACACACACACACACACACACACACACACACACACACACACACACACACACAGAGCACTTGTGTCTAAACATCAGCAGCAGGAGGAGCAGCAGGTTTTACAGTGATTCTGGACATCGTTTTTTTTCTTTCATAAAGTCTGGCGTCTGGTCAAACCAGCACAGAGACCATGAAGACAAACACATGTGATCTGTGTTGCTCTACATCAGTCTCTGTACTGTCCTCTGCACTGCTCCATAGACTACACAGGGACAGCATCAGTCTCTGTACTGTCCTCTACACTGCTGCACAGACTACACAGGGACAGCATCAGTCTCTGTACTGTCCTCTGCACTGCTCCATAGACTACACAGGGACAGCATCAGTCTCTGTACTGTCCTCTGCACTGCTCCATAGACTACACAGGGACAGCATCAGTCTCTGTACTGTCCTCTACACTGCTCCATAGACTACACAGGGACAGCATCAGTCTCTGTACTGTCCTCTACACTGCTCCATAGACTACACAGGGACAGCATCAGTCTCTGTACTGTCCTCTGCACTGCTCCACAGACTACACAGGGACAGCATCAGTCTCTGTACTGTCCTCTACACTGCTCCATAGACTACACAGGGACAGCATCAGTCTCTGTACTGTCCTCTACACTGCTCCATAGACTACACAGGGACAGCATCAGTCTCTGTACTGTCCTCTACACTGCTCCATAGACTACACAGGGACAGCATCAGTCTCTGTACTGTCCTCTACACTGCTCCACAGACTACACAGGGACAGCATCAGTCTCTGTACTGTCCTCTGCACTGCTCCACAGACACACACAGGGACAGCATCAGAAGGACCTGTGCGAGGCCTGTGTAGAAACTCCAATATAAATGTACGCGCAGAGAGCGCGCAGTAAACGCGTACGCGCTGTTTACGCCTACTGTGTAAATTCCCTGTAAGACTTTCTCCACCGACTCCCACTGATGTCTGCTGTCGTTGTGTCCTTTGGCAAGACACTTAACCTCTGGGAACAGCAGGTGCCACAGTGGGGCGGCTGCGGCTGTAAAGTGCCAAACTGGTTGTGTCCTTAGGCAAGACACTTCCCCCACATTAGAATGAGTCTGGTGTGAATGGTTGGTGGTGGTGGGAGGGGCCGATGGCACAGACTGGTTGCCTCGCTTCTGTCTGTGTGCCCCAGGGCAGCTGTGGCTACAGTAGTTTATCACCACCGTGTTTTGAGAGAGGGAATAATGATGTGAAGAGACTTTAAGAGTCCAGAAAAGTGCTGCATTAAACCAATGTATTATTATTATTATTATTATTATTACTTTTTTTTTTTCATCCAAGCCCCAGAGCACCAGCCCCAGAGCCCCAGCCCCAGCCCCAGAGCCCCAGCCCCCCAGCCCCAGAGCCCCAGCCCCAGAGCCCCAGCCCCAGAGCCCCAGCCCCAGCCCCAGAGCCCCAGCCCCAGAGCCCCAGCCCCAGAGCCCCAGCCCCAGAGCCCCAGCCCCAGAGCCCCAGCCCCAGAGCCCCAGCCCCAGAGCCCCAGCCCCAGAGCCCCAGCCCCAGAGCCCCAGCCCCAGCCCCAGAGCCCCAGCCCCCCAGCCCCAGAGCCCCAGCCCCAGAGCCCCAGCCCCAGAGCCCCAGCCCCAGCCCCAGAGCCCCAGCCCCAGAGCCCCAGCCCCAGAGCCCCAGCCCCAGAGCCCCAGCCCCAGAGCCCCAGCCCCAGAGCCCCAGCCCCAGAGCCCCAGCCCCAGAGCCCCAGCCCCAGAGCCCCAGCCCCAGCCCCAGAGCCCCAGCCCCCCAGCCCCAGAGCCCCAGCCCCAGAGCCCCAGCCCCAGAGCCCCAGCCCCCCAGCCCCAGAGCCCCAGCCCCAGAGCCCCAGCCCCAGAGCCCCAGAGCCCCAGAGCCCCAGAGCCCCAGCCCCAGAGCCCCAGCCCCAGAGCCCCAGCCCCCCAGCCCCAGAGCCCCAGCCCCAGAGCCCCAGCCCCAGAGCCCCAGCCCCAGAGCCCCAGCCCCAGAGCCCCAGCCCCAGAGCCCCAGCCCCAGAGCCCCAGCCCCAGAGCCCCAGCCCCAGAGCCCCAGCCCCAGAGCCCCAGCCCCAGAGCCCCAGCCCCAGAGCCCCAGCCCCAGAGCCCCAGCTCCAGAGCCCCAGCCCCTCTCTCATCCTCCGGCAGGTGGTGAGTCCACAGGAAGATGGCTGTTCTGTCAGTGACAACACAGCTTTGATTCTTCAACAGGGGCTTTAGGCAAAGTGGGGTTAAGTGTCTTGCCCAAGGACACAACAACAGCAGACATCAGTGGGAGTCACTAGAGAAGGTCTTGTGGTGTTTTGGTACATTCCTATTTATTTTTTTAGTACCTAACTTGTGATTTAACATTAAAGGAGCACTATGTAAAAAATCTGTCCAAAAGTGGTACTGCAGCCTCTCCCTGACTCAGGTTGCCAGATATGCAGACGAATCCAGCTGGGACCATAACAGCTGAAATTCAAATATCTCTGAACTACTGTTATCAGTTAAAGAAGTATTGTAAAAGAACATGGTTTATTATTATACAGATTAGGGCCCTTTAATGATGACAGAGTAGGGTCCTTTAATGAGGACAGATTAGGGCCCTTTAATGATGACAGAGTAGGGCCCTTTAATGAGGACAGATTAGGGCCCTTTAATGATGACATATTAGGGCCCTTTAATGATGACATATTAGGGCCCTTTAATGATGACATATTAGGGCCCTTTAATGATGACAGATTAGGGCCCTTTAATGATGACAGATTAGGGCCCTTTAATGATGACAGATTAGGGCCCTTTAATGATGACCGATTAGGGCCCTTTAATGAGGACAGATTAGGGCCCTTTAATGATGACCGATTAGGGCCCTTTAATGATGACAGATTAGGGCCCTTTAATGATGACCGATTAGGGCCCTTTAATGAGGACAGATTAGGGCCCTTTAATGATGACCGATTAGGGCCCTTTAATGAGGACAGATTAGGGCCCTTTAATGAGGAGAGATTAGGGTCCTTTTAATGTTTACAGATTAGGGCCCTTTAATGATGACCGATTAGGGCCCTTTAATGAGGAGAGATTAGGGTCCTTTTAATGATTACAGATTAGGGCCCTTTAATTATGACAGATTAGGGCCCTTTAATGATGACCGATTAGGGCCCTTTAATGAGGACAGATTAGGGCCCTTTAATGATGACCGATTAGGGCCCTTTAATGATGACCGATTAGGGCCCTTTAATGATGACAGATTAGGGCCCTTTAATGATGACCGATTAGGGCCCTTTAATGAGGACAGATTAGGGCCCTTTAATGATGACCGATTAGGGCCCTTTAATGACGACAGATTAGGGCCCTTTAATGATGACCGATTAGGGCCCTTTAATGAGGAGAGATTAGGATCCTTTTAATGATTACAGATTAGGGCCCTTTGATTATGCCACTATTGTGATTTGTGTACATTTATTTTTCCCTTATCCCCACCTGCAAAATTCGTCCTGGGTTTATTTTCAGTCACGCCTCATTTTTGTTTAATATTTATTGATACTGAGCTGATAGAGGCCGATGGAGGCTGATGGAGGCCAACCTGGTTTGAAGGCTCTCAAGTGAATCTCTCTTTGAGACGGAGCCGAGGGCAGGACCGTCTGTAAATACATCTACATACATCTGATTTAGACTGAGTTCTGTCTCACAGCGACCATGTTCCCCACTGTCTGGATTCTCTTTGAACATTTTAAACATAGAGCAGTGACAAGTGGAGGAAACCCTGAAAGGCAAACATGAAAGAGAAAAACATAAATATACACCGTGTTTGGAGTCAAGGGATAATGACACGTGAAGCGTCTTGAGTGTCCTGAAAGTGCTAAAAAGATTCATTATTATATCATTATTATTACTTCTTTTTCCAGAATGACTTATAGATCTCTCTTATTGAAAATGCTGATGACTGCTGTCGTTGTGTCCTTGGGCAAGACACTTAACCCCACTTTTCCTGGAGCCTCCACTGAAATATCAAGGCTCCTGTAGGAGGACCAGTGAGGACCAGTGAGGACCAGGAGGATCAGTGAGGATCAGTGAGGACCAGTGAGGACCAGTGAGGACCAGTGAGGACCAGTGAGGACCAGTGAGGACCAGTGAGGACCAGGGAGGACCAGGGAGGACCAGTGAGGACCAGTGAGGACCAGTGAGGACCAGTGAGGACCAGGGGCTGGTGCTCTGACTGCCACTCCCGACCCAGATATGGATTAAGGGGAAGAAGATGGATGGAGATTCACATTTCAAGCCCAAATCCTGTCGACTGTAATATTTCACTAGAAAGAGGTGAAATACAAAACTCCCTGAGTTTGGGAAGATTTAGATCAGATTTCTCAAAGGAACAAGTGTAAGATCAGAAGGATCAAAGGAATCGTCCTCATCGCTGTGTGTTTATGTGAACAGCAGAGTGATAAAAGGAGGTGATTTTAGCTCCACCCTCGCTGCTGCATTTGGAACAAACTCATAACTTTACTTTTATTCTTTATTATGGACGTGTGCATTTAAGGACCATGTTATTTATTTATTTAGCTTTGGTGTGTGTCTGTGTGTGTGTGTGTCTCTGTATGTGTGTTTGTCTCTGTGTCTGTGTGTGCGTGTGTGTGTCTCTGTGTGTGTGTGTGTCTCTCTCTGTGTGTATGTCTGTGTGTGTGTCTCTGTGTGTGTGTGTGATTCCTAACACTGTATGAATTATACCTCATGAAACTTCTTCACTGCAAGTTTTAAGTCTCACATTCCAGTGAATGTATAAATCTGATACATATTTTATTATTATTATTATTATTATTATTATTATTATTATTAGAATACGAGCGGCATCGGGCTCTGCAAATCTATGCCTAGAAACATTAGAATAATAATTTCTGCCATATTGATTGATGTGTTTTACATATTGTTCTTGTTGAAACCGTTATCGTCTGTTCCTCTGTCAGTGTTTTCCTTTTCAATTCAGATGTATTTTTGTATCTTTGAGACGAGGAGAGTTTAATTGTATTGCACAGTTCATGCACGAGGAAACTCAAACTCAAGCTAAACCGTTTTCACCTGGACTTGAACGTTGTTAGAGAAGAAGCCTGTCTCACATTTTCAGGAAGACCCTGAATCACAGCAGTGGTAATCTCAGAGGACTTTACAAAGCTGTCGATTCTCCAGCACAGATCAGAGAATCAGACAGAACGACCTCCTCTTCATGTCTTATGTCAGTATACGTTTGATCTTGATCTGTGGTCAGCGAGTCCCAGAGGTTTCCAATGTGTCATAAATGTCTCAGATCCATTTTATTAGACAGAAATAGGACATTTTTAAGCCGATCTTGTTCAATAGTGAAGTTGAACCAATCGTAAACTCCCAAAAGAATCCAGAACGTTTCATCTCAGAAATAACAAACTGGACCTTTGGCCTTTTTACTGCGGAATGGATCCACAACAACTTCATCTATGCAATAACGACTCCAGATGATTATGAATTCTTTTCTCTAAGCCCCAGACCATGAATTAACTTCTCCAGCAACACATCTGTACATTTCTCGAGAGAATCGAATTCCATTGTCCCAATGGAAGCATCACACTTTAACCCAATGTTAGTGGCTGTAAAGGGAAAAGGCTGCAATTATAGAAGTCCTTTGCAAATAAAAATAGTAGTAATAGTTTGAGTCATTTTTCAATGCATTTTCTTACAGGCACATATATAATTTATAAGAACAAAGGAAGAAGGCAGAAGCAAAAAGCTGTGACTTCCACATTATCGATACATTTAAAGGAGCAGTGTGTAAACATGTGGCCAAAAGTGGTACTGCAGCCTCTCCCACTCTCCCTGACTCAGGTTGCCAGATATGCAGACGAATCCAGCTGGGACCATAACAGCTGAATAGACAAGAGTTTTGTCAACAACAGATCTATAACCAACACCTTTTTCACAAAGATAGAAATCCTGGTTTTATTCCTTGTTTTGTCGTTAATGATTTGAGAATCATAACGAGACCTTTTTTAGTTCTGCGCCACATGGTACTTTACCAGTGAGATTAGCTCCACATGGTACTTTACCAGTGAGATTAGCTCCACATGGTACTTTACCAGTGAGATTAGCTCCACATGGTACTTTACCAGTGAGATTAGCTCCACATGGTACTTTACCAGTGAGATTAGCTCCACGCGGTGAGTTGCGGCGCCCAGATCACAGACTTTCTGATTGGTGAAACGGTGGAGGGCGGGACATCGAAATGAAAACAATAAAAAACGTGGATAACGGCTGTTTCTGCAGTCCCTGGTTACGTAAATAAAATACATGAATACAGTAATGTACAATCACAGAGATACCATCACAATGCAACACACACTCACACACACACAGTCTCTGATACACACACACAGTCTCTGATACACACACACACACACAGTCTCTCTGATACACACACACACAGTCTCTCTGATACACACACACAGTCTCTGATACACGCACACAGTCTCTGTGATACACGCACACAGTCTCTGTGATACACGCACATAGTCTCTCTGATACACACACACAGTCTCTGATACACGCACACAGTCTCTGATACACGCACACAGTCTCTGATACACGCACACAGTCTCTCTGATACACACTCACACACAGTCTATCTGATACACACACACAGTCTCTGATACACGCACACAGTCTCTCTGATACACACACTCACACACACAATCTCTCTGATACACACACACAGTCTCTCTGATACATACTCACACACACAGTCTCTCTGATACACACACACAGTCTCTGATAAACGCACTCACACACACACTCTGATACACACTCACACACACACTCTGATACACACTCTGATACACACACAGTCTCTCTGATACACACACAGTCTCTCTGATACACACACACACACAGTCTCTAATACACGCACACAGTCTCTCTGATACACACACTCACACACACAATCTCTCTGATACACACACACACAGTCTCTCTGATACACACACACAGTCTCTGATAAACGCACTCACACACACACTCTGATACACGCACACAGTCTCTCTGATACACACACACTCTCTGATACACACATGCACCTATCTGATACACGCTCACACACACACACACTCTGATACACACTCACAGTCTCTCTGATACACACACACTCTCTGATACACACACGCACCTCTCTGATACACGCTCACACACACACACACTCTCTCTGATACACACTCACAGTCTCTCTGATACACACACACTCTCTGATACACACACGCACCTCTGATACACGCTCACACACACACACACACACACACTCTCTCTGATACACACTCACAGTCTCTCTGATACACACACGCACCTCTGATACACGCTCACACACACACACACTCTCTCTGATACACACTCACAGTCTCTCTGATACACACACACACCCTCTCTGACCACACACACACACACACTCTCTCTGACCACACACACACACACACTTAGCCTTATACCTGTTTGTTAAAACCACACTCGCACAATAATCATTAATCCATATTCATCATTATTTTCAGATTATAATTTTTGATTGGAAATATCTGCTGTAATTATTAAAGACCAAAATTAGACCTGGACCTTTGAGATGTCTTGGAATCACAAGTTTATCGAAGCTAAACTTTTAAAACACTAAATGTGTGTTTTGAATGAGATTTTGTTTGTATGTTTTATATTATTATATTATATTTCTAGGTATTATGATGAACTACATACATCTCTAAATATAACATTCAGCAGCTCATAAATCTTAGAGATCAAGAAGTCGTGTTGTTAATGTCAAATATTGATTATTGACGTTATCCGGAGCTTCCGGACACTTCTATAGATTTTTATGGATTGTTTCAGTTTCCGGAACACATGGTCACGCACACGTGTCGTTATTATTGCTCAATGTTTTAAAGAGTTCTTGGAAAGAGCAGAGGTGATTTAAGGATCTGGACTCAGTCAGACTGCGTCTCTGTGAGGGAGTTTCTTTAGGTCTGGACAAAGACGATAGATTACAACGACAGGTTTGTGTTCATGTGTTTTCAGAGTTTTATGGTTGTTTGATTTGACTTGTATCATTTTCATTTTTTAGTGTTTTTCATTGGAGAAAATCACAATAAGAAGGGTCAAGTGCACAGAACCTAGAACGGGGAGAAATAAGCAGAGATTCTAACGGTCTTTTGGAACTGACAACAGCATTTATGGCTGTTATTATTCCCTCCATTAAAATAAAAGGTGCAGAGTCAGCAAGTCGCAGTAATTGGCTGTCCCATTTCCTGCAGGGACTGGCTTTTTGTCAGTAACAATTATCCAACAAAGATGTCTGGAAGCCCATAAAGTGGTTGTGTCTGAAGCCGGTGGCTTCTGTATAATGTGCTTCATGTGTCAACAGTGTGACGGCGACACGTCCAACAACATGTCAACTACTGTTTTAGAGATAAATCAGCACTGGGTGTGTTAGGCCCAGGCCGGGTCAGGTCTAGACTGGCTCAGTAATACAGTACATACCTCACATCAGCTGTGAGCAGATCCCCGTTCATTTATAGCTGTGGCCTTGTGCTGCTGCACGTCTGCCTGGCAACTCCTCACGCTCTGCTCCCTCTCCTCACACCACACCATGGCTAATTACTAGATACACAGCAGTCTGGGGAATTTTAATGTAGAACATTCAGAATTCTGCCAACCCGAGGCTAAGGAGCCTTTCTGTCGGAGAGGTGTTAGATCCACCTTGATGGTCTTTGATCAGTCTGTAGGATCCTGTAGGACTAAAGTGATGCACTTTCTAAATGAATCTCTTCTTTCTGCAGGTCGCAGTGGAACCATGTGGAGTAACCTGAAGAGCAGATGTCAGACCCTGTTCCACAGCAGCAGTGGAGCTTCAGAGGGACGTCCTGAAGAGGTGCACTGTGTGGTGGAGCTGAGTCCCTCTGAGGCCCCCCTCTCTGCACCCTCCAGTCCGGCCCGGAGCCCACCACCCCCAGCCACCACAGGACGGCGCCATCACAACTGTGTGTCAGACATCCCGCAGATTGTGGAGATCTCCATAGACAAAGACACAAAGGACTTACACGGCGGGGCGGGAGTCCCCCTGGCCCGTAGAGACTCGTACTCTCGCCACGCGCCCTGGGGCGGCAAGAAAAAACACTCATGTTCCACCAAAACACAGAGCTCTCTGGAGGGCCGCTCGGGCCGGCTGAGGACCAGCCGCAGAGAGCGGCGCCACGGCGTCAGCTCGGCTCCAGAGATGTGCGACTCTGCCCCGGGACGAGGGCTGAGCGGCCGCAGCCTCAGACAGCGCCTCAGCGACACGGTGGGTCTGTGTCTGCCTCTGCCCACGCACAGACGCTCGCACTCGGCCAAGTCTCCCATCTCCACCAAACGTAAGATTCACCTGACAGAGCTGATGCTGGAGACCTGCCCCTTCCCCCCAGGCTCGGACCTGGCCCATAAGTGGCATCTGATCAAGCAGCACACGGCCCCCGTGAGCCCCCACTCTTCCACCACGCTGCTGGACGCCTTTGAGCCGGGACAGACGTCTCCAGAGGACGAGGAGGAGCGTCTGCGGGAGCGGCGACGCCTCAGCATCGAGGAGGGCGTCGACCCACCACCCAACGCCCAGATCCACACCCTGGAGGCCTCTGTGTCCAGCTCCACGCTCTACAAACTGGGACCAAAGATGACCCCTGGCCTGGCGGAGGCCGAGGGCCTCTTGGGGGTCTCGTCACAAGACTGTGACTCTGAGGAAGATTCCACCACCCTGTGTCTTCAGGCTCTACGGCCCAAACAGAGGCACGCCTCAGGGGAGGGCCACAGCCGGCAGCAGCCGGGGCCCTGGAAGGTGCACACTCAGATCGACTACATCCACTGCCTGGTCCCCGACCTGCTCCAGATCAGCGCGCTGCCGTGTTACTGGGGCGTCATGGACCGGTACGAGGCCGAGGCTCTGCTGGACGGCCGGCCCGAGGGCACCTTCCTGCTGCGGGACTCTGCACAGGAGGACTACCTGTTCTCCGTTAGCTTCCGCCGCTACAACCGCTCGCTGCACGCGCGCATCGAGCAGTGGAACCACAACTTCAGCTTTGACGCACACGACCCGTGTGTGTTCCACTCGTCCACGGTGACCGGGCTGCTGGAGCACTACAAGGACCCGAGCGCCTGCATGTTCTTTGAGCCGCTGCTGACCGCACCGCTGCACCGGACCTTTCCCTTCTCGCTGCAGCACTTAGCGCGCGCTGCCATCTGCAGACGCGCCTCGTACGACGGCATCGGCCTACTGCCTCTGCCTCCCGCGCTGCTGGACTTTCTAAAGGAGTATCATTACAAACAGAAAGTACGAGTGCGCTGGCTGGAGCGGGAGCCGCCGCTCAAGCTCAAATAGTCTGAGATTAACTGAGATGTTCCCGATCAGGAGACTGCGGCTCTTTGGGGAGTTCCATGTAACAAGCTATACCAGATCCATTCTAATCCTTAGTTATTACTTATCACATACATATGATTATACTCAGTGTAATGGCAAGCACACGGCTTGTGTAACAGGTTTTCTTTGAGAGAAGGAAGGCACAAATATCAGCACTTTGTGTTTTTTCTCTTCATTTTGTGCTAAATGTCTGCCTGACCCCACAGCGCCACCTGCCTGTGACCTGCATGCATCACCCCAGTGGCTCACGAGCACTCTCCATGATGTCTGTGTTATAAGCCCCAGCACAGCTGCACAACCTTTAAGTTATTATAAATAATTCTGACGTTAGATGGTTCTATTTGGTGCTAATCTCTGAGATGTTTTTCTTCACGGGAACAGTTCCTTTTATTGTCATAAATAATGGATCATCCTGCAGTGTCCTACTTACAATAAGATTATGTCTTCTCCACTGTCTAAGTCCAACACATTTATACATTTAAAACATTTACTAGCTTGATAAGTACATTTAAAACTTGATAAGTTGTATATATTAGGCTATATTAGCCTCTGTCTCTGTTCAGTAAATACAGACTTTACTGGTCATTTACTTGGACTAAAACATTGGTCCTGTTAATCACCACAGCACCATGTTCCTCCAGCTTCAGGAGAATAGAGCTGTAGAAGAGAGATCAGGTAAAACTGGCATCGATCTGAAATATTGATGTGATCACAAAGGTTCAGCCGGAGGTCTCAGACTCATATTCCTCTGCATATGTGTCTATGATACATAAACCGGATATTTGGACTAATGACCCCGCATTATTCATGAGACCAGAGTATCCCGTTTCCGTAGAGCCACCAACCCTCCATGAAGGCGCCGCAATATGCTCCAGATACAAGTGACAATAAAGGATTATTTATGGATGGATCGATGGAGGACATTTAAGATGCAAAAGACACTAGTCTTACTCTGACAAACAGGTTTTAACTAATCCAAAAGTTACTCAGGACTCATTCAGTAAAATCCATTGTTTCAAAATCAGCAGTGTCCATCGGGATCACCTTAACTGACCTCTCTCTGTCGGGCCTCTCTCTGTCGGGCCTCTCTCTGTCGGGCCTCTCTCTGTCGGGCCTCTCTCTGTCTGGCCTCTCTCTCTGTCGGGCCTCACTCTGTCGGGCCTCTCTCTGTCGGGCCTCTCTCTGTCGGGCCTCTCTCTGTCTGGCCTCTCTCTCTGTCGGGCCTCACTCTGTCGGGCCTCTCTCTGTCTGGCCTCTCTCTGTCTGGCCTCTCTCTCTGTCGGGCCTCACTCTGTCGGGCCTCTCTCGGTCGGGCCTCTCTCTCTGTCGGGCCTCTCTCTGTCGGGCCTCTCTCTCTGTCTGGCCTCTCTCTGTCGGGCCTCTCTCTCTGTCTGGCCTCTCTCTGTCTGGCCTCTCTCTCTGTCGGGCCTCTCTCTGTCGGGCCTCTCTCGGTCGGGCCTCTCTCTCTGTCGGGCCTCTCTCGGTCGGGCCTCTCTCGGTCGGGCCTCTCTCGGTCGGGCCTCACTCTGTCGGGCCTCTCTCGGTCGGGCCTCTCTCGGTCGGGCCTCTCTCGGTCGGGCCTCACTCTGTCGGGCCTCTCTCGGTCGGGCCTCTCTGAGTTTTCAGACACCTCACAGGTTTAAACTATACATTATTTGACAGATGTATTGATCTTGTTGTGAGTCGGACACTGCTCTTCATGATGACTGTTCATTTATTCACATTGACTTAAAGAATGAGGTTTTAACAGTTTTCTGTCGGTTCGTAGGATTTCAGTCGTGTTTGAAGTCTTCAACAAGAGACGATCTGTGTCAATAGAAGAAAAACACATTTATCCAGCAAAAAATCTAAATTGTTGGAGGCTGAAATACAGAGTGAATCAGTTTCAGTGCCTTTGTAAGAAACAGAATGTGTCACACTCAAACAAGGCAAAGGGATCAGAACCAAATGTTTTTATATAAAACATTTAACAAAGCAGATTATCCAGAAGTGATCAGAGGGATGAGATAATACAACTTTTTATATTTTATTTATCCAGGACAGAAGCTCTTTAAGAGAGTCCTGGACAGAAGTTAGTGACAGACTTTTACAGATGATAAAATGAGACTCATTTTCTCAAACATTCAATGAAATGAGTTCAACAACACGTTCAAAAGAGCGAAGAAAACAAAGCTTCATCAGCTTCGTCAGCTTCATCAGCCCTGTCTGCATCACTGTGTGACTCAATAATAATAATAATATTAATGACCTGGTTCCCATCTCTGTGGAGACAAAATGCTTAAACATAATAATTGTAAAGCTCTTTGTGGCTCTGGTCTGTGAAAGGCGCTATATAGATAAATATTACTTACTTAGTAATGATAATAATCATGGTAATAATGATAATAATCATGGTTAAACCTGCGCCGCCATCTTGGATCCCACAGATGCATTTCTCAGACATTTTAGTGTTCCCACTTTAAAGAAGACCTACCATGCTTCTGCAGCTCATCAATGACATCTGTTCTTATTCAATTAGCTCGTTTTAAATCTCATTACTGAACTAAAGCCATCTCAGTCTGGCCGTGTGGCTCTGTGCTCTTCCCCTTAGCAGTGCAAACTTCAGCTGAAGTTAAAATCAGTGGAACGTTTCCCCTGTGAGCGAGAATCAGTGGAAAACAACTGCTGAGTGTTTGACAGAAAAACACAGTCAAAAGCTTTAAAGCAGACGTGTTCAAACCTAGGCCCGTGGGCCAACTGCGGCCCTCTGTGTCCGTTATGTGGCCCTGAGCCTCGCTAACTCAGCTCTACCACAATAATCATGTTGTACTCAGCTCTAAAGCTCGGAACCTCCAGAATTCAGCAAAACCTTTACTTTTGAGTCTCCAAATAATGTAGAAAGTGCTGCTGCAGCTGAATATGAGCACATCTGGACACACTTAAAACAAGATTTTCAACGGGACAAAGCAAAAGCAACAGTTCTTGAAAAAGACTCTTTGGGGAATCTTGTTTTGTCAGATTGAGATGAAAAAAAAAACACTTATTTCTAGCAATTATTACTTCATATTTCATCATTTTGTGCAGTGTACAATGAGACAATGTCTCACCAGAATGACTGACCAATGGTCTTGATCCACCCAGATGTAGAAAATTCTTCAGTAACAAATTGTACACACTTAAATCATGGGAAACATTTTGTAATTTGTTTATGATGGATTTTCCTTGGTTGCCATGCTGCAGTTGTTGGTGCTTAAGACAGAGCCACATGGAGGCTCCTGGAGCAGAGAGGAGTGAGGGGACTAACTTCTCCTATGAACAACTCCTCTGCTTCCACCCCACGCTCAGGAGAGTCCAGCCCGGACCCTCATGCCCCGTTTTCCCCATGGGAAATTTGTGACATTAACCGTAGCACACGTTTGCCATATAACCCTTAGCTTTAGGAATAAAAGACTATGTTTGAATGATGCTTTTTCTGTAATTGAGACTTTTTCTTTCTCTGTGGTGCATAAACTGTCTCACAAACCAAACCAGAACCAGACTCAACCTGGACCGAGCCTGAATCCAAGGTAAACATGGACTACATTACCCAGAATCCCCTCTGTCTCTGGAGACCTCTTTCCCACCGAGAAGCCGCTCTTTGTGGTTCACACTTATCGGCCAAAAGGACTCGGTTCAGAATCTGTTTAACGTGAGTGAGTCAAAGAGACTGCTCTGCAAAAGGAGGAGAAAAGTGACCAATAATTAGTACATTTCTTACTTTGGCAAAAAGTATCTTGATGTAAACGTGACTTAAAACGAGCCAAAATGTCTTAAAGATGGAACTGTCACTTGGAATGAGAAATATATCGTACCTGCACTTACCTTGGAAGTTTAGTTTAGAAACAGTCATAAATATGTTCTAGAATCCAGAGGAAAACCAAATCCTATATTGGAGCTCTCTGCAGCGTAGTGGACCAGGATTCACTTCAGTTCAGTTCAGTCCTGGTCTTTGATTACACAGACTTATCGCCGTAAAACACTTTTAAATCTTTAAAGTCCATTTAAATGTTTTTAAAATCCCTGGAGCAGGAGCAAGTCCAGGAGCAGGTCCAGGTCTTGGTGGAAAAGAGGTCTTTGTGTTTCTCTTTGTCCTGAGGAGAAAATGCCAAGTTGTTTTGTTGTCAATAATAATAATAATAACAATCTATTTATGGTGTCCTAAAAACCTCTGGGTCTTGAACATTTCACCGCGTTCTGAAAAGGTACGACTCGTTTATGGAAGATATTTAGACACGTCCTGTTTCCGATAAATATATTTAAGAGGTGCTATAAACAGAGTTATGTATGAGAGTTCTTATTTTCACAATCCCTGATATGCAAATACGGAGTTGTCACTTTATGCTGAATGTGCACAAAAGGTTCTGTCTGGACGAAAGGAAAGGATTATTATGGGATGTGATGGTCCTGGGACTGACCACAGGCTGCGTCCACAATCAGCTGCTCATACGTTAGTGTGGTTAGGCATCTCTGTGGAGGTGTACCCCGGGAGTACCCTGAGGTGTGTTCTCCGGGAGTACCCTGAGGTGTGTTCTCCCGGGAGTACCCTGAGGTGTGTTCCCGGGTGTACCCTGAGGTGTGTTCTCCGGGAGTACCCTGAGGTGTGTTCTCCCGGGTGTACCCTGAGGTGTGTTCTCCGGGTGTACCCTGAGGTGTGTTCTCCCGGGTGTACCCTGAGGTGTGTTCTCCGGGAGTACCCTGAGGTGTGTTCTCCCGGGAGTACCCTGAGGTGTGTTTCTCCCGGGTGTACCCTGAGGTGTGTTCTCCGGGAGTACCCTGAGGTGTGTTTTCCCGGGTGTACCCTGAGGTGTGTTCTCCCGGGTGTACCCTGAGGTGTGTTCTCCCGGGTGTACCCTGAGGTGTGTTCTCCCGGGTGTACCCTGAGGTGTGTTCTCCGGGGTGTACCCTGAGGTGTGTTCTCCCGGGTGTACCCTGAGGTGTGTTCTCCCGGGTGTACCCGGGTGTACCCTGAGGTGTGTTCTCCCGGGTGTACCCTGAGGTGTGTTTCTCCGGGAGTACCCTGAGGTGTGTTTCTCCCGGGAGTACCCTGAGGTGTGTTCTCCCGGGTGTACCCTGAGGTGTGTTCTCCCGGGTGTACCCTGAGGTGTGTCCCAGTGTGTGTACCCTGAGGTGTGTTCCCGGGTGTACCCTGAGGTGTGTTCTCCCGGGTGTACCCTGAGGTGTGTTCTCCCGGGTGTACCCTGAGGTGTGTTCTCCCGGGTGTACCCTGAGGTGTGTTCTCCGGTTGTACCCTGAGGTGTGTTCTCCGGGAGTACCCTGAGGTGTGTTCTCCCGGGAGTATCCTGAGGTGTGTTCTCCCGGGAGTACCCTGAGGTGTGTTCTCCCGGGTGTACCCTGAGGTGTGTTCTCCGGGAGTACCCTGAGGTGTGTTCCCGGGTGTACCCTGAGGTGTGTTCTCCCGGGTGTACCCTGAGGTGTGTTCTCCCGGGTGTACCCTGAGGTGTGTTCTCCCGGGTGTACCCTGAGGTGTGTTCTCCGGGTGTACCCTGAGGTGTGTTCTCCGGGAGTACCCTGAGGTGTGTTCTCCCGGGAGTATCCTGAGGTGTGTTCTCCCGGGAGTACCCTGAGGTGTGTTCTCCCGGGAGTACCCTGAGGTGTGTTCTCCCGGGAGTACCCTGAGGTGTGTTCTTCCGGGAGTACCCTGAGGTGTGTTCTCCCGGGAGTACCCTGAGGTGTGTTCTTCCGGGAGTACCCTGAGGTGTGTTCTTCCGGGAGTACCCTGAGCCTGTTCAACAAGGCCCTGGTTTTCCAAGATGGCTGTCCATTCCAGTTTAAATTTCAATATTCAATTTGGATTTATTGTTGTATAAACCGTAAATCACAGCCGTCCCAAACAGTTCAAACTCAGGAATATGGAGCGAGATGATAAATGTTTCAGTGTCGTCCTTGACCCTCCTGCTTTGGGACGCTAAATCTCAAAAAGAAACCTGTGGTAATCATCCATCCATCCATCCATTTTCTTCCCCTTAATCCATTTCTGGGTCGGGGGGGTGGCCAGAGATGCCACCCAGTACACAGAGCACCAGCCCCTCACTGATCCTCCTGCAGGTGGTGAGTCCACAGGAGCTGAGATCTTTCAGTGGGAGCTTCAGGCAAAGTGGGGTTAAGTGTCTTGCCTAAGGACACAACGACAGCAGTCATCAGTGGGAGTCGTGAAGAAGGTCTTACGGTGGGCTCGAACCCACAACCTTCAGGCTCAAAGGCCAATGCTCTACCAACTGAGCTACTGTCGCCCCTGTGGTAATCAGTGGTTGATAAGTTTTCGGCCCCAAACAAAAAAGACATGTGTTTTGGTTCTTTCTGACGCTCAGAAAAGCCCAGAGCATCAGAGCCATGTGCGTAACAGGAAGTGTTGCACTAAAATGTGTTTTTCGCTGTTCCACTTGAAACAAAGTGAGTTTACTTTGAGTCGAGGGAAAATGTGAAGCTGGACTTAGGAACCTTGGAGTTTGTTAGTTTGTGTTTCAGTGCGGCCTTTAACACTGGACAGAGTGGATCCTTCTGACGGGACAGTTTTAGTTCGGCCTTTAACACTGGGCAGAGTGGATCCTTCTGACGGGACAGTTTTAGTGCAGCCTTTAACACTGGGCAGAGTGGATCCTTCTGACGGGACAGTTTTAGTGCGGCCTTTAACACTGGGCAGAGTGGATCCTTCTGACGGGACAGTTTTAGTGAAGCCTTTAACACTGGGCAGAATGGATCCTTCTGACCGGACAGTTTTAGTTCGGCCTTTAACACTGGACAGAGTGGATCCTTCTGACCGGACAGTTTTAGTGAAGCCTTTAACACTGGACAGAGTGGATCCTTCTGACGGGACAGTTTTAGTGCGGCCTTTAACACTGGGCAGAGTGGATCCTTCTGACGGGACAGTTTTAGTGCAGCCTTTAACACTGGACAGAGTGGATCCTTCTGACGGGACAGTTTTAGTGCGGCCTTTAACACTGGACAGAGTGGATCCTTCTGACGGGACAGTTTTAGTGCGGCCTTTAACACTGGGCAGAGTGGATCCTTCTGACGGGACAGTTTTAGTGCAGCCTTTAACACTGGGCAGAGTGGATCCTTCTGACGGGACAGTTTTAGTGCGGCCTTTAACACTGGGCAGAGTGGATCCTTCTGACGGGACAGTTTTAGTGAAGCCTTTAACACTGGGCAGAGTGGATCCTTCTGACGGGACAGTTTTAGTGCGGCCTTTAACACTGGACAGAGTGGATCCTTCTGACCGGACAGTTTTAGTGAAGCCTTTAACACTGGACAGAGTGGATCCTTCTGACCGGACAGTTTTAGTGAAGCCTTTAACACTGGGCAGAGTGGATCCTTCTGACCGGACATGACTGAGAGTCGTTTGTCTTCTTTAGAGTCAGACTCTGTTGGAAAACCAGGGTCCATGTTGTTTTGTGGACGCAGCCTCCGTTGATTTGAAACCAGCCGAACAAAACTCATCTTCGTCCCATTGCCCCCCCCCCCCCCTCCTCTTCCTCCGTGTGATGTCACGTAAAGGATTGGTGCGTGTAAATGGCATAATCATGATCACATTTCACCGTCTTCAATGTAACGCTTCACGTTAAAGTCATCTCCAGTTTAATAATCCGTTCATCTGAGAGAGCCGTCTGATGCTATGACACTTGTAGCTGTCACTTTGGTGCTTGGCTTATGCTTCATTGTCTTAATATTCCAAATAAAACTGTTAAGTGTAATCTACACTGGCCCTAAACGTCCACCTGACTCTGTCTTTATTCTATTTATTTATGTGGCGCAGCTACACCAAGGTTCCACAAAGAGGTTCAGTTTAGTCTTAGTTTGAGAAGGACAATAACGTTAGGCTCAAAGACAGATTATGTTGAACACCAGAGCACAGCTAGGTCTCCATCTGCTACATTAGCTATGTTAGCTACATTAGCTAAGTTAGCTACATCTCCATCTGCTACATTAGCTATGTTAGCTACATTAGCTAAGTTAGCTACATCTCCATCTGCTACATTAGCTATGTTAGCTACATTAGCTAAGTTTGCTACATTAGCTAACTTAGCTACATCTCCATCTGCTACATTAGCTAACTTAGCTACATGGCTAATTAGCTGTCGAGCGGTACATTTTCAGCAGTAATTCCCTTTCTCTCCACACGGTGATGACCAAAGTGAGGCGCTCAGTCGCTGCTTTGGGTCCAACAGAACCATAACAAAGCTGAATATCTTTTCTTTCTGAAAAAGCCAAATACATACATTTGAAAACTCTTTCTGGAGCTTGGAACTGCTGCAGTGAAATGAATTTTAAGACATTACTGAAACCACTGCCCAAAAGCCTGTGAGTGTAACGTGACCCTTTGGCCTTGCATGTTCTACTTTTACATCAGTACACGTCTTAAATCCAACTTCTCAATTATAGAAACCACTTTGGCACGGCTTGTTTTTATTTTTAACTTTCACTGTAGCTCTAATACCTGGGAGGCTGGGTTTACAGCCCTAATGTTCTGCATTTCTCTGCGTCGGGGGGAGATGTTTGGCCGTGGTTGGTTCTCCGGGGGCAGGGCTGGCTCTCAGGTGGAGCAGGGCCAAGTCTGCTGTGGCTGACCTCCAGGAGACCCTCTCGGTACTAACTCCACATTTCAGAGGCGTGACCGTCCAACTGCAGGGAGTGTGGAAACAAGTCAAACTGCTCACATTTTGCTTAAAGTGTCTTGATTTGAGCAGATTTTGTCTGTTTTAAAACAAGATTCACAAGTTTATTTTCAGTAAAACCACACTGGAATAACTGTCCCCAGTGTGCACAGAGCTCTTGACAATACACGTTAATCTACATTTACAAAACTTCAGTCAAACATGTTTTACACATTCTATTTGTAAAGTGTGTTTGTGTTATGTTAAAACTCACAGGAAGCTGCATCAACCCATGAAAAGAACAAATGTGACAATTTAAACCTTTTATACAATCCCAGTAGCAGTAATAGTAGCAGTAGTAGGAGGAGTAGTATTTCCTACAGGTACAGACATTTTATTGTTTGTTTACTAGTAAGAAAGATCCCTGTGAGTCACATTTTGACTCTTTGGGCTGAGAGCTGATCGCACTCTGAGGAGAAAGATATTTACCAGAGAAGAGAATATGGACTCCACAAACCAGACTGTGTTCATCTGTGCCCTCAAACCGGTCTGACAACTCTGGTCCGAGTCTGAGATCAGTGTGAAATCAGTGTGAGATCAAATCAGCCTGAGATCAGCCTGAAATCAATCTGAGATCAGATCAGCCTGAGATCAGATCAATCTGAGATCAGCCTGAGATCAGCCTGAGATCAGCCTGAGATCAGCCTGAGATCAGTCTGTCTTTTACCCCTGATGTACCTAAGGACATTGATTTATTAACTCTTTAATGGTTTCTTGATCATCTTGGAACTGAAATCAATCCGTTTGGACTGGAATCTCTTTCTTGGTTTTAGGCTATTTTAAATAAAATAAACAAACCTGATAATAATGATAATAAACACAGAAGTTGTTAGGTCCTTCCTGTTGAATAGAGAGAACCCGGTCACATCTCGGGCTCTTAAAGAACTTTATCAAATGGAAGTAAATCTATTTGAAACTGTCGCAATCTCAAATATTTGTCAGAATCTTCGCCGTGTTTGAAACGCCCGTGAACCCTCGGCATCTGGACACGCCTCGTGTATTTCTTGACTCTGGCAGCGGCTGTGGAAACTTCAGCTGCAAGTCCTGTTCATTCCTCTGCCCCTCCCCATGGCCTCCCCCATGGCCCTCCTCCCCCATTTCATGTCCAGTCATCATTAAAGGGCCTTTATCTTAATCTGTCATCATTAAAGGGCCCTAATCTGTCATCATTAAAGGGCCCTAATCTGTCATCATCAAAGGGCCCTAATCTGTCATCATCAAAGGGCCCTAATCTGTCATCATCAAAGGGCCCTAATCTGTCATCATTAAAGGGCCCTAATCTGTCATCATTAAAGGGCCCTAATCTGTCATAATTAAAGGGCCCTAATCTGTCATCATTAAAGGACCCTAATCTGTCATCATTAAAGGGCCCTAATCTGTCATCATTAAAGGGCCCTAATCTGTCATAATTAAAGGGCCCTAATCTGTCATCATTAAAGGACCCTAATCTGTCATCATTAAAGGGCCCTAATCTGTCATCATCAAAGGGCCCTAATTTGTCATCATTAAAGGGCCCTAATCTGTCATCATCAAAGGGCCCTAATCTGTCATCATCAAAGGGCCCTAATCTGTCATCATCAAAGGGCCCTAATCTGTCATCATCAAAGGGCCCTAATCTGTCATTAGAAGATCCAAGGAACATCTTGGTGAAACTCGGGGTGAAGCCACTTCTCCTCCACGTCAGGGTTTAAAGCTATTATGTTTAAAGTTATTATGATAGAGGATGATGAAGAGGAAATAAAAACAGCTTTAAAATGACCACTGCAACCCTAAAGTTGCACGTTTTTTGTTTTTATTCTAAATGAACTACTTTAAACTAGAACAACACCGTAGAGCAGGGGTCTCACCGTAGAGCAGGGGTCTCAGAGCTGTCCCTCTTGTGTCTCAGAGCGGTTGATGGAGTCCTGACAGAGCCCTTCTTCTTCTTCTTCTGCTGTAGCTCGACATATGCACATTATGTTGAGCAGGGGTCTCAGAGCTGTCCCTATTGTGTCTCACCGTAGAGCAGGGGTCTCAGAGCTGTCCCTCTTGTGTCTCACCGTAGAGCAGGGGTCTCAGAGCGGTCGCTCTGTGTCTCACCGTAGAGCAGGGGTCTCAGAGCGGTCCCTCTTGTGTCTCACCGTAGAGCAGGGGTCTCAGAGCGGTCGCTCTGTGTCTCACCGTAGAGCAGGGGTCTCAGAGCGGTCCCTCTTGTGTCTCACCGTAGAGCAGGGGTCTCAGAGCTGTCGCTCTGTGTCTCACCGTAGAGCAGGCGTCTCAGAGCGGTCCCTCTTGTGTCTCACCGTAGAGCAGGGGTCTCAGAGCTGTCGCTCTGTGTCTCACCGTAGAGCAGGCGTCTCAGAGCGGTCCCTCTTGTGTCTCACCGTAGAGCAGGGGTCTCAGAGCTGTCGCTCTGTGTCTCACCGTAGAGCAGGCGTCTCAGAGCGGTCCCTCTTGTGTCTCACCGTAGAGCAGGGGTCTCAGAGCGGTCGCTCTGTGTCTCACCGTAGAGCAGGGGTCTCAGAGCGGTCCCTCTTGTGTCTCACCGTAGAGCAGGGGTCTCAGAGCTGTCGCTCTGTGTCTCACCGTAGAGCAGGGGTCTCAGAGCTGTCGCTCTGTGTCTCACCGTAGAGCAGGGGTCTCACCATAGAGCAGGGGTCTCACCATAGAGCAGGGGTCTCACCGTAGAGCAGGGGTTTGTGTTGATGGAGTCCTGACAGAGCCCTTCCCCTTCTTCTTCTTCTTCTGCTGTAGCTCGACATATGCACATTATGTTGAATCCCTGGTTCCCACCTCGCTCTGCGGCTGTTGCGGTCGAGAAGGAACCATTTTGGAGCCAGTGAGGTCCTTGTGGTGGAGCTATATTTTCCTACGGCTCTGTAATTGGCATTGGGAATTCACTGATCATACTCGGCGCTTATTAATACGGATACTCAAGTCTGGTCCGTTAGAGGTTAGAAAAACATAAAGCCTGTTTCTGTTTTAGCTTCACTTGACCTATTTGTACCCAGCGGAATGTGATCATGACCAAACGGCGACCTCGAGGCTAAAAATTACAAGTGTTCGATGCCAGAAGCTCCTGAAAAACTCCCCGAAGCCCTGCTTTAAAGTTTCCTACTGGTATAAAGTGCAAAGCTAGAAATACGAGCAGAACATGGGAAATGTTACCTGGAAACGAAAGCAAGGTTCGATTCCCACTCATGGTAACTTTATTTTACTGATTAAGAGCAAATAATGGTGTCATTTGTGTTGGTTTTTGGCTCTTTTCCGGCCGCACATCTTTAGATCAGATTTTTCAGACATAAAAGTGGGACCTTCTCTTGCTCAGCCAATCAGATCCCAGCCCGAAGTACCAACTTCTAATGCTTTTTAAGTAAACAAAATATATCATTTACCGCAGCTTTCAGCAGTAAAAAGTGACCGCCGCTTTGGAACGCTTTGGGACATTCAGACTTTCTTAGTGGCAAATAATATCCATGATCCGTTGCTGTTTCGTCGTACACTTAAAAACATGAAGTATCCATATTTATTTATAAGCGGTGCAATGGTGAAGATGGATAAATCTGCTTTATGTATTTAGTATTTCTGTTTGGACTCCAGTCGGTTGGACCACAGCTCTCTCCAAATGAGACGACCAGGAAGTACCATCACATTAGTCCTTGTCACTCCCGTATTCGTCCCAGAAACCGGATTCGTCAGGAAGTTCAGTTTGATCCATTGATCATACGCAGCAGTAGATTACGTCACGGAATCTGGACGGAAGTAAATATAACAAATTACCTATTCATGCCTAAACTTAACCAGCCATTCCCATAAAATAACCCCAACCCACCTTAACCCTAACCTTAACCATCTTACTGAGACCACCTTAACCCTAACCTTAACCATCTTACTCAGACCACCTTAACCCTAACCTTAACCATCTTACTCAGACCACCTTAACCCTAACCTTAACCATCTTACTCAGACCACCTTAACCCTCACCTTAACCATCTTACTCAGACCCACCTTAACCCTAACCTTAACCATCTTACTCAGACCACCTTAACCCTAACCTTAACCATCTTACTCAGACCACCTTAACCCTAACCTTAACCATCTTACTCAAACCACCTTAACCCTAACCTTAACCATCTTACTCAGACCACCTTAACCCTAACCTTAACCATCTTACTCAGACCACCTTAACCCTAACCTTAACCATCTTACTCAGACCACCTTAACCCTAACCTTAACCATCTTACTCAGACCACCTTAACCCTAACCTTAACCATCTTACTCAGACCACCTTAACCCTAACCTTAACCATCTTACTCAGACCCACCTTAACCCTAACCTTAACTATCTTACTCAGACCACCTTAACCCTAACCTTAACCATCTTACTCAGACCACCTTAACCCTAACCTTAACCATCTTACTCAGACCCACCTTAACCCTAACCTTAACCATCTTACTCAGACCACCTTAACCCTAACCTTAACCATCTTACTCAGACCCACCTTAACCCTAACCTTAACCATCTTACTCAGACCACCTTAACCCTAACCTTAACCATCTTACTCAGACCACCTTAACCCTAACCCATCTTACTCAGACCCACCTTAACCCTAACCTTAACCATCTTACTCAGACCCACCTTAACCCTAACCTTAACCATCTTACTCAGACCACCTTAACCCTAACCTTAACCATCTTACTCAAACCACCTTAACCCTAACCTTAACCATCTTACTCAGACCCACCTTAACCCTAACCTTAACCATCTTACTCAGACCACCTTAACCCTAACCTTAACCATCTTACTCAGACCACCTTAACCCTAACCTTAACCATCTTACTCAGACCACCTTAACCCTAACCTTAACCATCTTACTCAGACCACCTTAACCCTAACCTTAACCATCTTACTCAGACCACCTTAACCCTAACCTTAACCATCTTACTCAGACCCACCTTAACCCTAACCTTAACCATCTTACTCAGACCACCTTAACCCTAACCTTAACCATCTTACTCAGACCCACCTTAACCCTAACCTTAACCATCTTACTCAGACCCACCTTAACCCTAACCTTAACCATCTTACTCAGACCACCTTAACCCTAACCTTAACCATCTTACTCAAACCACCTTAACCCTAACCTTAACCATCTTACTCAGACCCACCTTAACCCTAACCTTAACCATCTTACTCAGACCCACCTTAACCCTAACCTTAACCATCTGACTCAGACCACCTTAACCCTAACCTTAACCATCTGACTCAGACCACCTTAACCCTAACCTTAACCATCTGACTCAGACCCACCTTAACCCTAACCTTAACCATCTTACTCAGACCCACCTTAACCCTAACCTTAACCATCTTACTCAGACCCACCTTAACCCTAACCTTAACCATCTTACTCAGACCCACCTTAACCCTAACCTTAACCATCTGACTCAGACCACCTTAACCCTAACCTTAACCATCTTACTCAGACCACCTTAACCCTAACCTTAACCATCTTACTCAGACCCACCTTAACCCTAACCTTAACCATCTTACTCAGACCCACCTTAACCCTAACCTTAACCATCTTACTCAGACCACCTTAACCCTAACCTTAACCATCTTACTCAGACCACCTTAACCCTAACCTTAACCATCTTACTCAGACCACCTTAACCCTAACCTTAACCATCTTACTCAGACCACCTTAACCCTAACCTTAACCATCTTACTCAGACCACCTTAACCCTAACCTTAACCATCTTACTCAGACCACCTTAACCCTAACCTTAACCATCTTACTCAGACCACCTTAACCCTAACCTTAACCATCTTACTCAGACCCACCTTAACCCTAACCTTAACCATCTTACTCAGACCCACCTTAACCCTAACCATCACATTAGTCCTGACTAGAAACAGGAAGTACCATCCATGGATCTATTATATTAACTGGATAGGGTATTACTAGCTTGTAGCTGAATAACTCACGTGCTCAGGGGATTCTCGCGGTACTGCAGACTGAACCAGACTGAACCAGACTAAATTCACGTGGGCTACACAGAAATTTTCCCCATAGGACTCAATGTAAACTAAAACACCTGACAGAGAACCTGGCAGAGAACCTGACAGAGAACCTGACAGAGAACCTGACAGAGAACCTGAGAGAGAACCTGACAGAGAACCTGACAGAGAACCTGACAGAGAACCTACAGCTTTCATAAAGGTCAGATTTTGTGGGGATTTTAGTGTCCCTTGTCGTCCTGAACTTTTTTTCTTCTTAAATCCTTCGGTTTTGTTTAAATCCACACTTTAGTGCCACAAACTCTGCTCCTCTGGCTCTGGCTCTAACTCCCGCTCTGATGAACTGCTCTGATTGGTCAGAGCCGAGCCCCTCTGTGCACGTGCGTGAGACCCTCTGTGCACGTGCGTGAGACCCACACACACGTGTTTGGTGCAATGCATTATGGGAGATCATCCACTGCACAGAACCGGGAGGACCAGACGATGCCCAAATACAGGCCAGTTTCCCAAAGATCATTGAGAGTTTCCCATAGATCTTTGAGAGTTTCTCATAGATCTTTGAGAGTTTCCCATAGATCTTTGAGAGTTTCCCATAGACCTTTGAGAGTTTCCCATAGATCTTTGAGAGTTTCCCATAGATCTTTGAGAGTTTCCCATAGATCTTTGAGAGTTTCCCATAGATCTTTGAGAGTTTCCCATAGATCTTTGAGAGTTTCCCATAGATCTTTGAGAGTTTCTCATAGATCTTTGAGAGTTTCCCATAGATCTTTGAGAGTTTCCCATAGATCTTTGAGAGTTTCCCATAGATCTTTGAGAGTTTCAGGCGACTTCCGCTAATCTTTCAGCCCCCATGCCGTCACAAAGCGCCACTGAGCACAACCATTCATTTGAATAGGGCGCCATCTTGGATTGCCAGGGCTTGGTACCATCCCATTAGTCCTGACCAGAACCAGGAAGTGTTGACTGTGACTGTTTCTATCTTGCTTTGTTCAGGGTTGGAGGTGCCTTGTGTATGAACTGTGCTATACACATAAACTTGCCTTGCCTAAAACCATGAATCCTTGTAAAGTAGTAATACAAAACATTTAGAGCCGCAGACCGCACAGTGTGAAGCTCGTTGGAAAGCATATTTGTCTCGGGGAAAACACAATTAGATTTGGATCTTTGTATCTGAGAGACGGTGATGAGCTCGGCAGAAAAGGTCACTTTGTAAAATACAAAAAGCTCTGGTCTCTGCAGCCAATCAGAAAAAGTCTATTTATGAATAATGCTCCCACAGGAATCCAGCCAAGACTGAAGCACGGACGATGACACGCATCAACAGCAATAACAAAGGATCAAGAAGAGACTGAGGTTTGACCAAAGCAGTGAATGATGCAGCGGCTCCAGGGACTCAGCCGCAGGAGGGTTGAGGATCAAAGGAATATATGTACTGGTCAGGGGTCAAGGGTAAGGGGTCCTCTGGAAGCACCCGGAGGTTTGTGGACCCAAGGTTTGTTGGAGGTTGGTGGTTGTAGGTTGGTGGTTGGAGGTCGGTGGTCGGAGGTTGGGGGTTGGAGGTTGGTGGTCGGAGGTCAAAGGTTGTTGGTTGGAGGTTGGTGGTTGGAGGTCGGTGGTTGGAGGTCGGAGGTTGGGGGTTGGAGGTCGGTGGTTGGAGGTCGGTGGTCGGAGGTTGGTGGTTGGTGGTTGGAGGTTGGTGGTTGGAGGTTGGTGGTTGGAGGTTGGTGGTTGGAGGTTGGAGGTTGGTGGTTGGTGGTTGGAGGTTGGTGGTTGGAGGTCGGTGGTTGGAGGTTGGTGGTTGGAGGTCGGTGGTTGGAGGTTGGTGGTTGGAGATCGGTGGTTGGAGGTTGGTGGTCGGAGGTTGGTGGTCGGAGGTCAAAGGTTGGTGGTTGGAGGTCAGTGGTTGGAGGTTGGTGGTTGGAGGTTGGTGGTTGGAGGTCGGTGGTTGGAGGTCGGTGGTTGGAGGTTGGGGGTTGGAGGTTGGTGGTTGGAGGTCGGTGGTTGGAGGTTGGTGGTCGGAGGTCAAAGGTCAAAGGTTGGTGGTTGGAGGTTGGTGGTCGGAGGTCAAAGGTTGGTGGTCGGAGGTTGGAGGTTGGTGGTTGGTGGTTGTAGGTTGGTGGTTGTAGGTTGGAGGTTGGAGGATGGAGGATGGAGGATGGTGGTTGGAGGATGGAGGATGGTGGTTGGTGGTTGTAGGTTGGTGGTTGTAGGTTGGAGGTTGGAGGTTGGTGGTTGGTGGTTGTAGGTTGGTGGTTGTAGGTTGGAGGTTGGAGGTTGGAGGTTGGTGGTTGTAGGTTGGTGGTGTAGGTGGAGGTTGGAGGTTGGAGGTTGGTGGTTGGTGGTTGTAGGTTGGTGGTTGGTGGTTGGTGGTCGGAGGTCGGTGGTCGGAGGTTGTAGGTCGGTGGTCGGAGGTTGTAGGTCGGTGGTCGGAGGTTGGTGGTTGGTGGTTGTAGGTTGGTGGTCGGAGGTTGGTGGTTGGTGGTTGTAGGTCGGTGGTTGGTGGTTGTAGGTCGGTGGTCGGAGGTTGGTGGTTGTAGGTTGGGGGTTGGGGGTTGGAGGTCGGAGGTTGGGGGTTGGAGGTTGGTGGTCGGAGGTTGTAGGTTGGGGGTTGGAGGATGGAGGATGGAGGATGGTGGTTGGAGGATGGTGGTTGGAGGATGGTGGTTGGTGGTTGTAGGTTGGTGGTTGTAGGTTGGAGGTTGGAGGTTGGTGGTTGGTGGTTGTAGGTTGGTGGTTGTAGGTTGGAGGTTGGAGGTTGTAGGTTGGTGGTTGTAGGTTGGAGGTTGGAGGTTGTAGGTTGGTGGTTGTAGGTTGGAGGTTGGAGGTTGGTGGTTGGTGGTTGTAGGTTGGTGGTTGGAGGTTGTAGGTTGGTGGTTGTAGGTTGGAGGTTGGAGGTCGGAGGTTGGTGGTTGTAGGTTGGAGGTTGGAGGTTGGTGGTTGGTGGTTGTAGGTTGGTGGTTGTAGGTCGGTGGTTGTAGGTTGGTGGTCGGAGGTTGTAGGTCGGTGGTCGGCGAGTGTGTGTGTGTGTGTGTGTGTGTGTGCGGCGAGTGTGTGTGTGTGTGTGCGGCGAGTGTGTGTGTGTGTGTGCGGCGAGTGTGTGTGTGTGTGTGTGTGTGTGTGCGGCGAGTGTGACTGTGGGACACTGTACTTTTACTGTTGTGTATTCAAAATGGCCGCTCCTCTTCATAAACACGACTTTAACTTTTCAGGAGAACACTTCAAACAATGACGAGGAGCCTAAAGGTAATTTGGACCAATCAGGAAGCTCCAAGGGTGAGTGGGCGTTTTATTCTTTGATTCTCTGATCTGTGTTGGCAAATCGACAAGTTTGTGAAGTCCTCTGAGAGAACTCCTGCAGTGATTCAGGACAAGAAAAGATGACTCTTTCTGTGGTTTGAAACCGGGCTCTGACTTCAGGATTTATGAAAATGTTTGACTCATGACTCTTGGTGTCTCCCAAAGAAGGGAGGAGGGTCTGGGTCTTGGTCTGGGTCTGGGTCTTGGTCTGGGTCTGGGTGGGTCTGGGTCTGGATGGGTCTGGGTCTGGATGGGTCTGGGTCTGGGTGGGTCCGGGTCTGGGTCTGGGTCTGGGTCTGGGTCCGGGTCTGGGTCTGGTTGGGTCTGGGTCTGGGTCTGGGTCTGGATGGGTCTGGGTCTGGGTGGGTCTGGGTCTGGGTCTGGGTCTGGGTCTGGGTCCTATTCAGGATGGGTCTGGGTCTGGGTGGGTCCGGGTCTGGGTGGGTCCGGGTCTGGGTGGGTCCGGGTCTGGGTGGGTCCGGGTGGGTCTGGGTCTGGGTCTGGGTCTGGGTCTGGGTCTGGGTCCGGGTCTGGGTCTGGGTCTGGGGGTCTGGGTCTGGGTCTGGGTCTGGGTCTGGGTCTGGGTCCGGGTCTGGTGGGTCTGGGTCTGGGTCTGGGTCTGGGTCTGGGTCTGGGTCTGGGTCTGGGTCTGGGTTGGGTCTGGGTCTGGGTCTGGGGTCTGGGTCTGGGTCTGGGGTCTGGGTCTGGGTCTGGGTCTGGGTCTGGGTCTGGGTCTGGGTCGGGTCTGGGTGGGTCTGGGTCTGGGTCTGGGTCTGGGTCTGGGTCTGGGTCTGGGTCTGGGTCTGGGTCTGGGTCCGGGTCTGGGTGGGTCTTGGTCTGGGTCTGGGTCTTGGTCTGGGTCTGGGTGGGTCTGGGTCTGGATGGGTCTGGGTCTGGATGGGTCTGGGTCTGGTTGGGTCTGGGTCTGGGTCTGGGTCTGGGTCTGGGTCTGGGTGGGTCCGGGTCTGGGTGGGTCCGGGTGGGTCTGGGTCTGGGTCTGGGTCTGGGTCTGGGTCTGGGTCTGGGTCTGGGTCTGGTTGGGTCTGGGTCTGGGTCCGGGTCTGGGTCTGGGTCTGGGTCCGGGTCTGGTTGGGTCTGGGTCTGGGTCCGGGTCTGGGTCTGGTTGGGTCTGGGTCTGGGTCCGGGTCTGGGTCTGGGTCTGGGTCCGGGTCTGGTTGGGTCTGGGTCTGGGTCCGGGTCTGGGTCTGGTTGGGTCTGGGTCTGGGTCTGGGTCCGGGTCTGGGTCTGGGTCTGGGTCCGGGTCTGGTTGGGTCTGGGTCTGGGTGGGTCTGGGTCTGGGTCTGGGTCTGGGTCTGGGTCTGGTTGGGTCTGGGTCTGGGTCTGGGTCCTGGGTCTGGTTGGGTCTGGGTCTGGGTCCGGGTCTGGGTCTGGGTCTGGGTCCGGGTCTGGTTGGGTCTGGGTCTGGGTCTGGGTCTGGGTCTGGTTGGGTCTGGGTCTGGGTCCGGGTCTGGGTCTGGGTCTGGGTCCGGGTCTGGTTGGGTCTGGGTCTGGGTCTGGGTCTGGGTCTGGGTCCGGGTCTGGGTCTGGTTGGGTCTGGGTCCGGGTCTGGGTGGGTCTGGGTCTGGGTCTGGGTGGGTCTGGGTCTGGGTCTGGGTCTGGGTCTGGGTCTGGGTCTGGGTCGGGTCTGGGTCTGGTTGGGTCTGGGTCCGGGTCTGGGTGGGTCTGGGTCTGGGTCTGGGTGGGTCTGGGTCTGGGTCTGGGTCTGGGTCTGGGTCCGGGTCTGGGTGGGTCTTGGTCTGGGTCTGGGTCTTGGTCTGGGTCTGGGTGGGTCTGGATGGGTCTGGGTCTGGATGGGTCTGGGTCTGGTTGGGTCCGGGTCTGGGTGGGTCTGGGTCTGGGTCTGGGTCTGGGTCTGGGTGGGTCCGGGTCTGGGTGGGTCCGGGTCTGGGTGGGTCCGGGTGGGTCTGGGTCTGGGTCTGGGTCTGGGTGGGTCTGGGTCTGGGTCCGGGTCTGGTTGGGTCTGGGTCTGGGTCCGGGTCTGGGTGGGTCTGGGTCTGGGTCTGGTTGGGTCTGGGTCTGGGTCTGGGTCTGGGTCTGGGTCTGGGTCCGGGTCTGGGTGGGTCTGGGTCTGGGTCTGGGTCTGGGTCTGGGTCTGGGTCCGGGTCTGGGTCTGGTTGGGTCTGGGTCCGGGTCTGGGTGGGTCTGGGTCTGGGTCTGGGTGGGTCTGGGTCTGGGTCTGGGTCTGGGTCTGGGTCTGGGTCTGGGTCTGGGTCCGGGTCTGGGTCTGGTTGGGTCTGGGTCCGGGTCTGGGTGGGTCTGGGTCTGGGTGGGTCTGGGTCTGGGTCTGGGTCTGGGTCTGGGTCTGGGTCTGGGTCCGGGTCTGGGTGGGTCTTGGTCTGGGTCTGGGTCTTGGTCTGGGTCTGGGTGGGTCTGGGTCTGGATGGGTCTGGGTCTGGATGGGTCTGGGTCTGGGTCTGGGTCTGGGTCTGGGTCTGGGTGGGTCCGGTGGGTCTGGGTCTGGGTCTGGGTGGGTCTGGGTCTGGGTCTGGGTCTGGGTCTGGGTCTGGGTCTGGGTCTGGGTCTGGGTCTGGGTCTGGGTCTGGGTCTGGGTCTGGTTGGGTCTGGGTCTGGGTCCGGGTCTGGGTCTGGGTCTGGGTCCGGGTCTGGTTGGGTCTGGGTCTGGGTCCGGGTCTGGGTCTGGTTGGGGTCTGGGTCTGGGTCCGGGTCTGGGTCTGGGTCTGGGTCCGGGTCTGGTTGGGTCTGGGTCTGGGTCCGGGTCTGGGTCTGGTTGGGTCTGGGTCTGGGTCTGGGTCCGGGTCTGGGTCTGGGTCTGGGTCCGGGTCTGGGTGGGTCTGGGTCTGGGTCTGGGTCTGGGTCTGGGTCTGGTTGGGTCTGGGTCTGGGTCTGGGTCTGGTTGGGTCTGGGTCTGGGTCCGGGTCTGGGTCTGGGTCTGTGTCTGGGTCCGGGTCTGGTTGGGTCTGGGTCCGGGTCTGGGTCTGGGTCCGGGTCTGGGTGGGTCTGGGTCTGGGTCTGGGTCTGGGTCTGGGTCTGGGTCTGGGTTGGGTCTGGGTCTGGGTCTGGGTCTGGGTCTGGGTCTGGGTCTGGATGGGTCTGGTTGGGTCTGGGTGGGTCCGGGTGGGTCTGGGTCTGGGTCTGGGTCTGGGTGGGTCCGGGTCTGGGTCTGGGTCTGGGTCTGGATGGGTCTGGTTGGGTCTGGGTGGGTCCGGGTGGGTCCGGGTCTGGGTCTGGGTCTGGGTCTGGGTCTGGGTCTGGGTCTGGGTCTGGGTCTGGGTGGGTCTGGGTGGGTCGGGTCTGGGTCTGGGTCTGGGTCTGGGTCTGGGTCTGGGTGGGTCTGGGTGGGTCCGGGTCTGGGTCTGGGTCTGGGTCTGGGTCTGGGTGGGTCTGGGTGGGTCCGGGTCTGGGTGGGTCTGGGTCTGGGTCTGGTTGGGTCTGGGTCTGGGTCTGGGTCTGGGTGGGTCTGGGTCTGGGTCTGGGTGGGTCTGGGTCTGGTTGGGTCTGGGTCTGGGTCTGGGTCTGGTTGGGTCTGGGTCTGGGTCTGGGTCTGGGTCTGGGTCTGGGTCTGGGTCTGGGTGGGTCTGGGTCTGGGTCTGGTTGGGTCTGGGTCTGGGTCTGGTTGGGTCTGGGTCTGGGTCTGGGTCTGGGTCTGGGTCTGGTTGGGTCTGGGTGGGTCTGGGTCTGGGTCTGGGTCTGGGTGGGTCTGGGTCTGGGTCTGGGTCTGGGTCTGGGTGGGTCCGGGTCTGGGTGGGTCTGGGTCTGGGTCTGGATGGGTCTGGGTCCGGGTCTGGATGGGTCTGGGTGGGTCCGGGTCTGGGTGGGTCCGGGTCTGGGTCTGGGTCTGGGTCTGCAGCTCTCTGAGCAGCAGTGACTCACTTCACTGCTGCTGGAAAAGGGTCAAAACTCATAAAAAACTGAACTTCTAAGACCGAGGGAATAAAATATGTTCCACTCCACTCTGAACCAAACTGCACTAATACTGGGTCAAACTGGGTCAAAGGAGCGGGTCTGCACTAATACTGGGTCAAACTGGGTCAAAGGAGCGGGTCTGCACTAATACTGGGTCAAACTGTTGTTAGTATTAGATAGCAATGTGGCCCACGTGCAGGACTGTACAAGGACTCTGATGATGACTCTGATGTGACTGTCTCTGTGTGACACGTCTTTCCATGTGTGACGTGACAATGACTATATAAACTGTGTACTGCCTTTAACAATGACTATATAAACTGTGTACTGCCTTTAACAATGACTATATAAACTGTGTACTGCCTTTAACAATGACTATATAAACTGTGTACTGCCTTTAACAATGACTATATAAACTATGTACTGCCTTTAACAATGACTATATAAACTGTGTACTGCCTTTAACAATGACTATATAAACTATGTACTGCCTTTAACAATGACTATATAAACTGTGTACTGCCTTTAACAATGACTATATAAACTGTGTACTGCCTTTAACAATGACTATATAAACTGTGTACTGCCTTTAACAATGACTATATAAACTGTGTACTGCCTTTAACAATGACTATATAAACTATGTACTGCCTTTAACAATGACTATATAAACTGTGTACTGCCTTTAACAATGACTATATATAAACTGTGTACTGCCTTTAACAATGACTATATAAACTATGTACTGCCTTTAACAATGACTATATA